GTACCCCCTGCCTTCTGGGTCAATAATTCCATATCAATAATAAATCTTTTGCATTTTTTCGCTTCACCTCCAAAATTTCCAAAACTCCATAATCTTTTTTGCTTTCTAATATTGCTTAATATTATTTGAATTATTATTATTAGGTTGATGCAAAAGTCTTTTTCATTTTTTTCGTACTTCTTTTGAAAAATAACAAAGTGATCAATTAACCTATGGTTTGCTCTAAATGAAAAGTGTTTATTGTTGAATTTCCCATCTTTTTAAGTCAATTTGGGTTCACTTTCAAGCAAATTCGAGAGTGAAAACGGGTTTTTCATAAAAATCTATCAAAACCTCTATAAAGAAATTGGCTGAATCAATTTCTCTGAAAATCTGAAAAAAAATATCGAACTTTTTGTGCTCTATCTTTTATTTATTAAAATCAAGATTGGTTTCCTTAGCTAAAGCGTCTAAAATGCATCATCGAGCTTTGGCTTATTGATTTCAGTATGTATTGTATGATTAAGTATCACTGTGCATTTCTCTATGATTTCTTTCACTTTATCGTTTGAATAAAGTATTATTATCGAGCCGTCGCCTTTTTTGACTACCCGACTTCAGGCTCTCAAAAAAATCTAGACACAAGACATTTTAAAACTCGTTTTAATGTCATTTTGCAGAAAAATAATTGGCCTTTCGAATGCAATAAACCGTTGTTCAATTCGTGCATTTGTTACTTTTTAACGGAAGTACGAAAAAAATGAAAAAGACTTTTGCATCAACCTAATATTTGTTTTGACAATTATAAATATTTGTTTTATGAAATCACCCCAATTCCGTATCCCAAATCAGGTACAACATTCGGAATGAGAAACTCACGGTGACGAGCCTCTGAAAAACAGTCTTTTAGTCAAAATCGATGGGTTGATGCTGAGAAAAAGACGAAAAACCTTAGATTGCCAACGGCAAAAAGGGATCGACAGATGTTTACGTTACAAGTTTAGTCCAGTGGTTATTGATGAGCCAAAGATACAGCAAAGCCAGACTAGGACTTGATCCTGGCTTAAAAAACTTGTCTTTGAGACAATCTCGACAAGATTAGAGCAGCAAATTGATCAGAAAAGGTTCCGGTTCCGGCTTTCAATTCAAAAAATGAAAAAGACTTTTGCATCAACCTAATAAAATTATATTATTAAAAATATTATATTAATCTAGCACGTGTGGCTGACTGGTTAAGTGTCTTTTATCTTAATCGGAAGGTCGAGGGTTCGAACCCCACATGCGACATGGTCACCCCCTTCGGATTTCCTTTCCCTTCGGGTTGAGAGGTTTTCTGGAGGACAGTCTGGTGGTTGTGGCCCCAGTTCTTTAAAGTGACAAGCCACTCCTTCATCGTCATCTTCCCTTCACCACCAAAAAAGCTATTTAGTTCCCCATTGAGCTTAGGGTTAGGGAGCCGTCTGTCATGACGTGGGTTAAGTTAAGATATAGCCTAGTATTGTGTGTGTCGTTGTATTGTGATTGATATATTTCGTGTATGCGATAAATTCACCACTGGTAGCCCCAGTCGGTATTTTTTTTAATCAGTATTATATCATTCATTATATCAACATTATTATATAAACACAACAAAAAAAGTAAAAGCATTAAAAGTAACGTTCTTTCTCGGTAGAACAACAACAACAAAAAGCTTTTCTGGAAAGAGCAAGAAGCAAGAAAATTCCACAAATTTACTTTTTTTACACTATTTTACACTATTTTACACTATTCTACACTATTCTACACTATTCTACACTATTCTACACTATTCTACACTATTCTACACTATTCTACACTATTCTACACTATTCTACACTATTCTACACTATTCTACACTATTCTACACTATTCTACACTATTCTACACTATTCTACACTATTCTACACTATTCTACACTATTTTACACTATTCTACACTATTCTACACTATTCTACACTATTCTACACTATTTTACACTATTTTACACTATTCTACACTATTTTAAACTATTTTACACTATTTTACACTATTTTACACTATTCTACACTATTCTACACTATTCTACACTATTCTACACTATTCTACACTATTCTACACTATTCTACACTATTCTACACTATTCTACACTATTTTACACTATTTTACACTATTTTAAACTATTTTACACTATTTTAAACTATTTTACACTATTTTAAACTATTTTAAACTATTTTACACTATTTTACACTACAATTTACACTATTTCCTGACTCTTTAGCTAAAGATATTATAATTTAGTTAAAATTTCCTTAGAAATCACTATAATGTAGAATTTTTCATTTTCCGGGTTCAACAAATAATTGAAATTTGGAGGAACTTCCTTTACATGACTTTTTGGAAAATCTTCGTCTCCAAATTATAGGCTTTTAGACTCAAAAATTATAGGCTTAATGTTGGAAGTTACGCAAAAGCAAAAGCAAAACTCGATAAAAAGTTCAGATTTCAATCTTGATATTAGTCAACATTTCCTCAATTTCTTTTATTATTCGAAATGATTGACGAAGTGAGTTATCGAGTGATTTCAGCCGAAGATCCGCTATGGTTACAGGTACATAAACAACCCAAAAAAGCTCTACCGTCAGCCAGGCAAGACTAGACCATAAGCCAAGTTCTGGTGTTTGTTCGTGGGTTCGTTCAGAGCTCCATGAGAAAAACTAGAAGCCGAATCGAAAAACTAGAAGCCATTCAAAGCTTACCCCTTGTCCTAGCTCTTCTGGTATTACAATGGCTATGTGACAATCGTGATCAATTCCTTTGGTGCTTATATGATTCTCTGGCATTCATCCAAAGATATGATTATTTATAAATACTTTCTATTGCAGTTACTGGTAAGAAAGTGGATGTATTCAAAGGTATTCAAAGCTTTTTGATCAGTTTTGGTCTTTCATCCTGGACATGCTGATGAATTGGCTTTTTTGTCCGGGTTTTCTTCTTCCTCTTCAAGGTATTTACATGTCAACATCGTGTGTTTTCGCAAAAACATCGTATGATTGGATTTGGGTGGAAATGGTGAGCCAATTGAGCAATATTCTATAGAGATTATATAGAAATTCTATAGAAATTCTATAGATATCTCTATAGATCTCTCTATAGAACTTCTATAGATCTCTACGCTCGTTGTTATGGAAAATTTAACCTCATCACTCGTCGATTGTTTCTTTTATCGTTTGTGGATAATTGAAGAGGAGAAATGGTGGTACGCGACACGGATGAGAAAATTTTTGGTAAGTATTTTCGGCTAAAGCTAGGCCAGGCTAGCTAAAGGCTAGGCTAGCTAAAGGCCAGGCTAGGTCTAAGCGTTAGAATCTGATTGTAAATCCCTGGCCTCTCTTGGCTTATCATTATCTACCTAGATCTGTGCCTTACTACACGGCTTCTATTCATTTACAAATATTTTTATGATCTACATATCGAGACTTGATCGATCTGTACAAGAAGAGTACATTGGAACGGTAAGCGGATCAAGTTGTTCTTTGTACAACTTGGTACTGTACAACTTGTACTGGACAACTTGTACTGTACTGGTACTGGACAACTTGGTACTGTACAACTTGTACTGTACTGGTGCTGTACAACTAGTACTGTACTGGTGCTGGATAACTTGTACTGTACTGGTGCTGTACAACTTGTACTATACTGGTACTGTACAACTTGGTACTGTACTTTCTGCTCGAGATTGAAACGCATCCTTTCGAGCACAGTTAACTCTTGGTTCCTCTCACGACCCAGACTAGTTAGTGTACCAAAAACAAATACAACGAACTACCGTACCTTGGAAACTCCTTTACAGTACTATCCGAACTCTTTGAACCTTCTCTCATACACGAATTGGGTGATCATTCCACCGTCAATCGGAAACTCCTACGAGATCATGTTTATGTGGTTTTTTGAGGTAGAAAAGTTGAAATTTATAATATACAAATATAATAAATATAATAAATATACAAATTCCAGGTGCTTCTCTTCAATCTAATCGTCGCTTTGATCATCTTTCAAATCATTCGTTTACTCCGACAATACACTTTTACAATGAGTCCATCAACGCTGAAAGCTCATCGGCATTTCGTTAGAGCTCTTTTCATACAAGTTTTCAAAGTTAAAGTAATCTTAAATTCATTGAAATCTTCCAGGCTGTAATCCCATTCATCGTCTATTCAACCCCAGTCGTAATTGGGCTCATTTGTGCGCTTTTCGGATTTCAAAGTGATAGTAAGTGTCTGTTTTGCATATAAGCTTTGACTTTGACATTTAAAATTGTACTGTAACGTACTACTAAGTGTACATTTATAGGAAATAGCTCGAAATAGAAAGCACATCTTTTCCAGTGCAACTTTAAGTTCAAATATGTTTGGATTGAGGTGTTGAATTGGGACATTGTTGAGATCATTAGATGCGTCAAGTCTTTCTCTATCGATTCGTATAGAAACTAATGAAATTGGCCTCTCACAATGCTGTTTTAGCGCTAAATTTCAGTGTTACAATATGGTATGATTTAATTAAATCAATTGTACTATCTAACAAGAAAGGTTAACCTTTTCAAATAATCCTCTCCAGGAATAGCAGTCGATAGTAATATGATAACAGTCGACACAAATCGTTCAACAGATTTCCGAGATGAGAATGTCCATTAAACAATGGTTCACTCGCATATCCCTCCCCCCAAGATGACAAGCTTTACCTGTGCCGTCTCAGAACCTTTTGTCATCTTTGGGGAGAGGTCTTATGCGCTATGAATTGTAAAGGATCATGGCAGCGGATGTTAAGGATTGTTAAGGATTGTTTAGGATTGTTAAGGATTGTTAAGGATTGCTAAGGATCATGGCGTCGTGCGCCTGAGTCAGAACAAGACTAGGTAAAATCCCATGGTCTGAAGTCCCGAAGAACAGGTCTGAAGTCCTGAAGAACAGGATTCACAGCGCATAAGACCTCCCCGCAAGATGACAACAAGCTTTACCAACAATTTATAGTAAGCCTTCAAATAGAAGTTTCTCCTGAAAATGAAACTTGATCAGCTTTTAAGTAAATCAATTGTACTATCTAACAAGAAAGGCTAACCTTTTCAAATAATCCTCTCTAGAAATAGCAGTCGATAGTAATATGATAACAGTCGACACAAATCGTTCAACAAGCAACAGACAACAGAACAACGAGATGAGAATGTCTGTTAAACAATGGTTCACAGAGCACAAGACCTCCCCCCAAGATGACAAGCTTTACCTGTGCCGTCTCAGAACCTTTTGTCATCTTTGGGGAGAGGTCTTTCTCTATCGATTATTATAAAACTATAGAAATTGGCTCTCACAATCCTTTTTAGCACTAAATTTCAGTGTTACAATATGGTATGATCGCGGTGTTCTCGACTCATTCTCAAGTCAATGTTTTCGTCATGTTATTCGCCACAAAACCCTATCGCTTAGTAATGGGGAAAGCTTTGGGATTTTTGCCGAAACTTTTCAAATCATTGGGAATCTCTACCGTAACCAAATCAAATCAACAATCGGCTAAAGAAAGAGCTTCAAAATTAGCATACAGCATTTAGATTCACGTTTAGAATTTGTCGATAAATTTTCATTAAAAGTTTATTCGTTTTTCTTTCACAGTATCACAGTGAAATACCCGTTTAGAAATGAAAATTGATTTCATTTTATGGATTTAAATAGCTATTTGCAAAAGCTAATCAACTCAAAGCTCTTCAGCTAATCAACTCAAATTCTTCATTTTTCGATCATTCAATTTGACAATTTGTCTGCAAAATTCTTCATTCACAAAATCCACAATGACGATGTTGAAAAGTTCGGGATGATCGAACTGAAAGCAAAGATTTCAAGAAGATTCTGTTATAGATAACTAATTATTGTAATTGAGTCTTTTTCTAGAGCTTAATTTAATGTATCTTTCTGTACCTTGTGCTCTATTTTGGTAAACACCTAAGCCTAAGCCTTTTAGCGCCGTAAATTCTCCATTTCTCTCACAATATTCAGAAGAAGATCAAGAATGCCAATGCCAATGAAGATCAAGAATGCCAATGCCCCAGAAAGGATGTGTTTACAGATTTCAAGAAGATTCTGTATGAGAATCCTGTTATAGATAACTAATTATTGTAATTGAGTCTTTTTGTAGAGCTTAAAGTTCAACTAAAGTTCAGCTATAGTTCAGCTATAGTTCAGCTATAGTTCAGCTATAGTTCAGCTAAAGTTCAGCTAAAGATTCAGTTGGTAGACTCAACAAAATGAATCACTTCAATCGATTTGATACAGAAGGATAGAGTAATTTAGAAGCGTAAGAAGCCAAGCTCAATGAAACCAATTTCAATTGGTAGACTCAATCAAATGAATGACTTCAATCGATTCACTCATCCAGCTTCGTCAATCCTTTAACGGTACTTCAAATGTAACCAAAAAAAATCCCCCATTGAAATTGTTGTAATTGAGCTTTTTTTGTAGAGCTAAAGCTACTGTATCTTTCTGTACGTTGTGCTCTGTTTTGGTAAACACCTAAGCCTCAGCCTTTTAGCGTCATAAATTCTTCATTTCTCTCACAATATTCAGAAGAAGATCAAGAATGCCAATGCCCCCAGAAAGGATATGTTTACAGATTTTCAAGCACAAAGTTTCACCTCGAAAATCCACTTGCGAACAGCGGCGGTCGCTTTCAATGAGAGCTGCTTCTCGAGTGAGGAAAACGGGGAACGAGCTGCAAATTTGCATAAATGAATACCATATTTTCTCTAATAGTGGTGCACCCGGAGCGTTGCTTAAATTCCTCGTAATCTCGAGAAGCGTTTAGCAGAACCTATCGATGTGAGATCGGAAAATGTAGCTGACGATGAGATCTAGCGGAGGATTTGAGTGTTGAGCTTCTGCAAAAGCTTCGAAACAGTAAAATAGTCATCAACTCGGCTCGCCTGGGTGCACTATTATTAGAGAAAATACGGTACTTAAAATAAGCTTTAGGATTTGAATTTAGACATTAAAGTTTTTGATTTAAATTGAAACTGACAAATATTCTTAATGGTGGCGGTAAGAATCCCCTGCGTCACGTAGAACATTGTGTTATTGATTGAACGGAACTGGAAATGATCAGAAATCTTAAAGATATCTAGAGCTAATATCTCTAAAGTCTCTAAAGGTCTCTAAAGCTCTCTAAAGATCTCTAAAGATCTCTAAAGCTTTGTAAAGATCTCTAAATATCTCTAAAGCTCTCTAAAGCTCTCTAAAGCTTTCTAAAGATCTCTAAAGATCTCTAAAGACCTCTAAAGACCTCTAAAACATCTCTAAAGATCTCTAAAGCTCTCTAAAGATCTCTAAAGATCTCTAAAGATCTCTAAAGATCTCTAAAGATCTCTAAAGACCTCTAAAACATCTCTAAAAGATCTCTAAAGCTCTCTAAAGATCTCTAAAGATCTCTAAAGATCTCTAAAGATCTCTAAAGACCTCTAAAACATCTCTAAAGATCTCTAAAGCTCTCTAAAGATCTCTAAAGATCTCTAAAGATCTCTAAAGATCTCTAAAGATCTCTAAAGACCTCTAAAACATCTCTAAAGATCTCTAAAGCTCTCTAAAGATCTCTAAAGATCTCTAAAGATCTCTAAAGATCTCTAAAGATCTCTAAAGACCTCTAAAACATCTCTAAAGATCTCTAAAGCTCTCTAAAGATCTCTAAAGATCTCTAAAGATCTCTAAAGATCTCTAAAGACCTCTAAAACATCTCTAAAGATCTCTAAAGATCTCTAAAGATCTCTAAAGATCTCTAAAGATCTCTAAAGATCTCTAAAGATCTCTAAAGATCTCTAAAGACCTCTAAAACATCTCTAAAGATCTCTAAAGATCTCTAAAGATCTCTAAAGATCTCTAAAGATCTCTAAAGATCTCTAAAGATCTCTAAAGATCTCTAAAGATCTCTAAAGATCTCTAAAGCTCTCTAAAGATCTCTAAAGATCTCTAAAGATCTCTAAAGATCTCTAAAGATCTCTAAAGATCTCTAAAGACCTCTAAAACATCTCTAAAGATCTCTAAAGATCTCTAAAGATCTCTAAAGATCTCTAAAGCTCTCTAAAGATCTCTAAAGATCTCTAAAGATCTCTAAAGATCTCTAAAGATCTCTAAAGACCTCTAAAACATCTCTAAAGACCTCTAAAGCTCTCTAAAGATCTCTAAAGATCTCTAAAGATCTCTAAAGATCTCTAAAGATCTCTAAAACATCTCTAAAGATCTCTAAAGATCTCTAAAGATCTCTAAAGATCTCTAAAGATCTCTAAAGATCTCTAAAGACCTCTAAAACATCTCTAAAGATCTCTAAAGACCTCTAAAACATCTCTAAAGATCTCTAAAGATCTCTAAAGCTCTCTAAAGATCTCTAAAGATCTCTAAAGATCTCTAAAACATCTCTAAACAATATCTAGAGACTTTTAAAGCACTCACAACTTGTGTCTGAGATAAATATTCGATTAGCTGAGCGATGTCATTCGTTTCCGGATAGGGAGAGACGATCGATGAGAAACCCGGCCAGAAAATTGAGTTTGATGGGTAGTACTGTAAGGAAAATCTATGGTAAATCGAAATTTAACATACAAAATAAGCTTTGTTGTACTTTGATGTACTTTGTTGTACTTTGATGTCAAATTTTAAATGCCCCTTCTCTAGCGAGCCTTTCCTACTTTTCTCTCAGCAATAGCTCAGAGAAAACGGAGAAGTAAGTAAAGTGACCGAGTAAAGTGGCTAACAGATACTGGATTGTCTTCTAGTGACTCCCCGGCTTCCACCGTGGCACAGGGGAGGCGTAGAGGGAAAATTACTCTCTCTCTCTTTGACAACCCTAAAATTACTCTTCCCCTAGTAAGTAAATCGAGCGAGTAAAAGCGCGTTTACACACGTTTTGAAGAATGAATCGACCTCAAATGCCGTGATACAAATCACTTGTTCCCCTCTCTCCCACATCATCTCCAAAGTGATCTCATCGAGTGTCCGCTCGAAAGAAGAATCATTCCCATTTAGAGGTCTAAAACAAATCCTATTATTCAAATTTAACAACTACTATAATTTAGCTTTTATCGGAGACAAAAGTACAATAACAGATACTGGATTGTCTTCTAGTCTTCCCAAAGAACTCTCATCTTTCCAAGCTTGTCCTTGAATCAACTACAGTAACAGATACTGGGTTGCCTTCTACAACAACATCTCATCTTGCATGTAACCTGTAACCCAGCTAGACCAAGTCCAGGTCTGATCTGGACTCTGACCAAGTTCAGGTCAGAGTCAGATCGAAATTTGACTTTTGCGGGCTTTTGTCGGAGACAGAACTACAGTAACAGATGCTGGCTTGTCTTCTAGTCTTCTGCAACAACATCTCATCTTTCCAAGCCTGTCTTTGCCTTGACTAATCCTCTAGAACTATCCCGGCGCTATCACAAACTCACTTGCAAAAGCGTTTCCTCCCAAAAATCTCGACAATCAATTTCTCGAGCTCTTGATGCACTTCCCAATCAACTTGAAACAAATGATTCATATCCAAAATCACGATTTCTTTTGGGTGAATGTCAAGGAAATCTAAAGAAATAAATAATTCAAGATTATTGTAGCCAATACCTTTTATCTCTTTCAAAAAAGTTGATAACTCTGGTCCATAAAGCGCGTGAACAAGATGGAAACCGTACGGGAGAGAGTTCGGCGGATTGGAGACTCTGAATTCGAGGATAAGTGGGTACGATAGCTAGTTGCTGTAGCAGTTACTATAGCAGTTACTGTAGCAGTTACTGTAGCACATCTTACTTTAGCATATCCCAAACCTGAGATCAAAATACCGTATCCCCATCTGGCATTGTGCGCCAGCCGACACGTGCTGTGTGATCGCCCATCGGCGGATGACTCGACGAGAGACTGAAAGAATCATTTCACAAACTAGTAGCTGTAACTGTAGCTAACTGTAGCTGTAACTGTAGCTAACTGTAGCTAACTCTAGCCAAAATCAAGATCTTTTTTCAGTCTGAGCATCCTCGTTAAACCCTCACCGGTCAATTTCCCGAAACAATTGAGAAAACGATTCGTGGCTTCATCATTTGCCACCGGGTACTTGATCGAGAGAACACTTGTTGCACCCGAATCGTGAGAGCCTGAGAAAGGGGATTATTTGATGCTAAAGATATCGAAATACCGTAAAAAGCCGACCCTAATCCCATCATCGTTTTCTCAGCCGTTATCTTGGACAATTGCTTTGAAATTTTGTCTACAACTGTCTCTACAACTGTCTACAACTGTCTAGAAGCTGTCTAGAAGCTGTCTACAACTGTTTACAACTGTCTACAACTGAAAACGAAGAAAACAAAGATGGAATTGGGTTCGAATCTTTGAATTTTCTCATGTCTAATTCCTCAGTAAAAGCTATTTAACTAAATGTTCATATAGTCATTTGATTTGAATGAGATTTCATGAGATTTCTTTATCCAATTCCTAGCCATCAAATCTCAATCTTCTCACCAGGAATCGCCAAATCGATGATCGGAATTCGTGTCAACGATTCGGGCAATTCACTCATCCATTCAGAGCCCATTTTGTGGAATCTGCTGTAGTTTCTTTGAAATCAATCATTTCTCATGATTGATTTCAAAAAGATCAATCATTTCCTCAATCAATCAATCAACCAATCAATCAATCAATCAATCAATCATTCAATCAATCAGTCAATCATTCATGATTAATTTTAAAAAGATCAATCATTTCCTATACAAATTGATCACAGAGAAAAGGATTATTTATCGAAAAAAAAATCAATTTTCTTTTAAACAACTCAAAAAGTTTCAATTCAAAGTTTCAATTCAAATCAGAATTCAACAATTTATTCTTTATTAAGAATATCAGTGCGTTTTATTGTCTCTTTCACTCGTCCAATCGGCCTTTTTCCACTCTTTGTCCACTCTGCGTACTCGGCAACGAAACCCTGAAAAGAAAGAAAAGATTGATGTGTCCAAACAGACGACACTTTTCAAATTACGATAACTTTTTAAAGGATCCAATGTTTAGGCAACAATTGAGCAAACAAGCAAACTGCTATCTATCCATTTTCCTTTTTTCGCATCAAACTTGAATCAAAATTAATTAATCTGGACGAGATTACATTAGTTTTACAGGATTCACTATTTACAGGGTCAAGAGGTGCGCCAAAAGTTGCGCCAACAGGTGCCAACAGGTGCGCCAAAAGTTCCCGTACTTGTATTTTCTGCATTTTTCGTAATTTTAGATAAAAGATACGATTTTAAAAGTAAGAAATTCGAATTGCTCGCGAAAAACTGATTTAGAAAACTGATTTAGAAAACGTTTCTGGTTAATTTATAAGTGCAACGTTATTTAAGACATGTGATTGAGAAGAGGGTCCGCTCAGGGGCGCTTTGGTCGCACAGCTACAAGGCACAGCTACAAGGCACAGCTACAAGGCACAGCTACAAGGCACAGCTACAAGGCACAGCTACAAGGCACAGCTACAAGGCACAGCTACAAGGCACAGCTACAAGGCACAGCTACAAGGCACAGCTACAGTTATTTCCTTTGATGGAAATTTGAAAACCAAGCTCTAACCTGACTTCCGTTTCAAGTTTTGGTTCAAGTTTTGGTTCTGATTCAATTAATAAATAACAATCAAATTCTACTAAAATATTCAAAGTTTCAGAATTTTCTTAAAGACGACAAAGCTACTTTCATTGTGGCTATCGAAATCGAGAATGTCTCTATTCAATTCACCCAAAAATTGAAGGAATTGACCACAAAAATTGATTCTTTTTAATGTTTTTTTGAAAGAATTTAAACAATTAATTTCTTTGCTAATTAAGAGAAATCTTTCTTCTTTCTTTCTCTAATTAAGAGAAAGAGAAAGAAAGAAATCCTTTTTCTCTTTACAAAATTCATTCTTGTGCTTTTTTTTCTTTACATTTTTGGCTTAGTTATTTGTCGTTTCGATTATTTGCCACTTGTTCACTTGTTTTGTGCAAATTCTAATACTTTTTATACGAATCTTAAAGCAATATAAAAATTAGATGAATCGAAATCCAAATGAAGATCGTTTTGACTTTTAAATTGTGAGAACATAAATTGTATCAAAAAAAAAGATCAGAAAGATAAAATTGTGATTTTTTTTCTATGATTCGATGTCCTTTCCCGCAGCTTCGTCGCAGAGTTGCTTCAATTTGGTGCCATAAGTGCGTAAGTGAGGGATATATTCCTCGGAGATTTCCTCAAATCGATTCCCAAACACCTGACAGTCTGGCCATTCTCCTCTCTTCTCGACGACCAAATTCTCGAAGAGCTGAATCGAAGTGTCGACTTCTTGCTGAAGAATGGGAACCGCCTTCGAGTAGGCGTTGATCTGATAGGCGATGGCTATTCCATCTAATCGTGTGAACTCGTGTTCTCTATGTTCCATCAGAAAACACATGGCACACAGTGTCATCCGGCACTCCTCGCAGTGGACGCTTTTGTTCGGTCGATGTTCTACGCCACATTTCTCGCATTTCTCCTTCTGTTGAGGATTGTTTAGAACGGAATTGAGCTCATTGAGGAAAGCGATAAGGATCCTGTTCTTTCGATTCTGATCCCTGTGGGTTGCTGTTCCACAGTTTCCACACCGGACTTGTGTCTCGTTGATGAGAAGTTTTCCCGAGCAACCCTGACACACCGTGTGTCCGCATGGGAGATCGATGGGTTCTCGAGCTGACGGAGATGCCGAGAAAGTCACTGCACAAATCGGACATTCAATTTGGGGAAACGGCTTCTCTATTACGTAACCACTGCAATCAGAGCTCATTTTCACGAGTCCATCCACGACGAGCTTCACCCAAATTGAGTAGGGACTTAGCCGGATCGAGGCACAAGCCGCTTCACTGCATACATGCATTCGTTGGCGTCGCTTTGGATCACTGACAGCACATCGACCACAGAGAAACGTTGTCACACATTTCATTTGGTAGACCCCTTGAAGTTCTCCGTTTTCACCCAATTCACAGTTGCCAAATGCCGGTTGTGCACAACTCCAACATTTGAGCGAGTCGAATGGGTGCACTCGAATTGATTTCACCTCTTTATCAGCCTCCACCTCGTTGAGAAGCTCAGATAGGATTTTATCCCGTCGACAATTCCAGTTAGCAGTGTTGCAACCCGGGCACAGCACTTGTTGAGGGTTTTGGGAATGGAGTCGCTCCAAGCATCCCCTGCAAATTGTGTGTCCACACTTTGTCAAAACAACTGGATGCCGTTTTGGGATCGCGGCCGAGAAGCCCTCGTCACAAGTCGGGCATTTCGGCGTTGTGAACGCTTTAGCGAGAATGTGCCCGTTCTTGTCAGGACTCAGCCTCACCGTGTCACTGAGCAAAATGCTCAACCAGATCGCATTGACATTCGGCGAGGTAACGGTGCAGTTCCTTTCGTTACACAAATGCATTCGTTTCCGATCGCACGGGCTCAGCGCATGGCACGGAGTACAGATGAAAGTGGAGCAGCTCGTTTGGTGAAATCCCTGAATTTAGAAATGTTTATCGTTTTTTTAGCTAATCGAAAGGCTAGTGGTATTGATGAGTTGCTATTTTTTCAGTAAATATAATTATAAAGCTAAAAACGGACAAGCTTGAAGCTACTTTATAGGCCGAAGGGCTTGTAAAATATAAAAAATACTGTCACTGTCTTATCTGTATTGAATCAGGTGAGATCTGAATCGAATCAGAGTCAGTATATTGTATCTAAATCTCTAAAGAGACGTGGACAATCAAGTGAACGGGATTGTCTGATCTGAATGTCTCACCGCCACGATATGAGATCGTTTCACTCAGAGCTTGCACAAGGGCCGAGGTGGCTAGTGTGCCGGGCTTTCGATCGGGAACAATCTGGTTCGATTCCCCTTGGTCAAAACTCTTTATTGTTAATAACCCTACTATCGCTTTCACTATTTAGCGATTGGCCCTCCTCTCTCCACACACCTGAACTTTCCCGTCAGCGTCCATCTCTCCAGTTACTGTTTCCCTGCAGTTCCAACACTTTAGCGACCCAAACACCCTCACATTATTCGTGTCGTTTGATTCGCTCATCTGAATTTGTACAGCTTAACATCTTTTGAAGCTTTCAGAGCTTTTGAAGTGAGTTTCAAAACAGCTGAGAGCAATAAAATCTTGTCTTATTTCAAGGCAACGAAAAGAAAATGGCTAACATAAAAATGATTACTTCTTGGCAGTTCTACCATTGGAAAGTCTTAGGAGAACGGGCAGTCACAAAAGGGGGCAGCTAAGAAGTCAGAGTCCTTGGAAAGGATCAAGTGCATCAACGAGTCAAAGAAGTGGTTATCAGGCAAGAAAAATCAACGGATTATCGGCGAGGAAAAGGTTTATTTACCGAAAAAAACTAATTTTCTTTTAAACAACTCAAAAAGTTTCAATTCAAATCAGAATTCAACAATTTATTCTTTATTAAGAATATCAGTGCGTTTTATTGTCTCTTTCACACGTCCAATCGGCCTTTTTCCACCCTTTGTCCACTCTGCATACTCGGCAACGAAACCCTGAAAAGAAAGAAACGATTGATGTGTCCAAACAGACAACACTTTTCAAATTACGATAACCCTTAAAGGATCCAATGTATAGGCAAAAATTGAGCAAACTTAATAACAAGCAAAAAAGCAAACTGCTATGTATCCATTTTCCTTTTTTCGCATCAAACCTTGGATCAAAATGATTTCTGGCCTGGTCTGGCCCATCTGGCCGAGATTCCCTTAGTTTTACAGATTATTCACCAATTTAGAAGTTTAAGTATATTTCGAATCTACTCACCTTCTCTTCAACACTGTCATCCGTATGCAAAACTAAAAGCATCTCACTTTCGGTGCTGATCAACTCGTCGGGAATCTGAGAGAATCATGATGAGCTTTAGGATTCAAATGGTAAGCTTTAAGCAGGTTTAGGTAAACTTTAAACAAGTTTAGGTTGGCTTTAAACAGGTTTAGGTTAGCTTCAAACAAGTTTAAAGTAAACCTTGAAATCTAGTCAATTCTGTGATTTGAAAAACGTTCAATTTACTTTCATTCGACTCGAAATTCATGTTTCTATCGAATAAAAAGAAATTATAAACAAAACAAATCTGGTAAAGATACGAGCGAAATTAGATTGGCCAACAACAAACGGATTGAAGAAGTGGCGGAGTTAACCTAGCTGCCCAGAAGTTAAGCCAAATTCAGTCCAGATTCAGGCCTGACTTTTGGTGAGCCGACTTTTTGGGCCAAGTTTCTAACAAAGACAAGATCAAAACCCAGATTAGTCTCTTTGAAACAATCCTCTTCTTATCCTCAATTTCCCAAGTTTTCCCTTTCATTCTCTTTTCTGTCCCTCTTACCGTATCCGAGCAAAAGCGTCCAAAAAGTTTCTCATCTTTTGCCTCTCCTCCATCATAAATCTCGACATAATCGTATTGACAAGAGCTGTCTGTTTCGAGGTGGAAAGCGTGAAACTGAATTCAAAGTCGATTTTCTTTTCGATTTTCTGATACTTAAAAAGATTCTCTATTTAAACTCCTTCACTTTCAATCGAACTCCTTCCCCGGATGTTGCCTTCATTTTCCATTGACAATCAGCTGTTGGTCGATAATTACTGTCACTGTATGATGCATGGGAATAGATATAACCGGCTGTTCGCTCAGCTTCCAATTCACCGCCACATTCTGGAAATTTGGAAACTTTTTGAGTTAAGAATTTGAATTCTTACGAAGGACTACATGCTGAATTGGTTGCCGGATTACTGTATCCTTGATATCGATCCAGTAATCTGGCAACTTGATACTGTATCCTGGGTTACTGTCATTATGGTATCAGACTGTAGTTATCATACTGTAGTGATCATACTGTTCTTATATTGGGTTGGGGAGAATGAGTCGGCGCCGAACTTTAAAGGGACTTTTTGCACACATAAAGCCTTCTTTAAACATACGTTTGGTTTGATCAAAAGGATCCACTATTTCTCTACAAAATCACTTTTGAGAGATTCCACAAAGCTTTTCTTTCGTGGAGTTTATGAACTTCGAAACGCAGCTGGTTAAAATGGCAAAGAGTCCGACTCATCATTTGAACAGTTTCTTTCACATAAACCTTCTTTGGTGTTTATATAAAAAAGATAGAGCACATTGAATTACTTAAGTTGCCAAATTTGCAGGAAGATCCCACCAATGGTTTTTTCTAGATCACAGTTTGTAGTTTTTGTGAAAAAATGGCTTTTTCTTGAGCGGAATTTTCTGAATTTTCTTTTAAATGTGATTTTGTAGAGAATTAGTTAACCATTCTACTCATATTAAACGCATATTATTTGACGAAGTCGAATTGAAGTTTTAGACATTTTTTTTATTTTCGGCGCCGACTCATTCTCCCCAACCCAATAGTATCTTTGATAGTGGAGAAGATTTTGTGGCTATGAATTGGATAAAGAAATCCTGATTTAAATCAAGCCGGACGAGTGAAAGAGACAATAGAATAGACAATAGCAATAGACAAAGAACTACAGTGTCATACTGTATTTCTTAAAGTATCTTCGATAGTTCGATAGAGACAAAAAACTACTGTATCATACTGTAGCTCTTACAGTTTCTTCGATAGTCTTCTTCATTGTTTTGGTGGGCTAGATTGCTGTAGAGAAAAGAGACAAGAGAAAAGAGACAAGAGAAAAGAGCCCTAATATTTCGAGCACTCATTTTTCACTCATCATTTTTCCTTATCAAATTACCCGATTGATATGTGGCGTGAAATCCCCGTCTGCTCACCGATCCATCAGCCATGAAAAAGACGAAAATCTGATTTGATGACGAGATCGTTGTTGATGGAAGAGACGACCCACAAAAGAGACCCAATAGAGGAGCTGATGGGGAAGCTGGGAAGATATTGTTGTAAGGATTTTGAGCCAATCATAGCCTTACCTCCATCAAAAATCTCGAATTTATCATAAGTGCAAAGTGAATGCTCTTCAAGCTCAAAGGCAACGAAACTCTGAAATGATGTTTTTAAAAAGATTTCGAATTTCAAACTAATGATATCCGATGCCCGGGCGTTGTCAGCACATGCCATGTACAATTCTCACTCTTCGGGTACTCGTTTGGATGATTTGGGGAGACGATGTCACCTGTAAAGTTTGATTGCTGACAATTCGTCGATTACAATCAATCAGCTAGTTGATGTCTTTTACATAAAAGAACTTGATTAAACTTAAAAAGTGAAACAGATTACTGTAGCTAAATGTTCTAGAGCGGTTTTCCCAAAGTTCCCAAGTCCCCAAGTCCCCAAGTTCTCAAGTCCCCAAGTCCCAAGTCCCCAAGTCCCCAAGTCCCCAAGTTCCCAAGTTCTCAAGTCCCCAAGTCCCAAGTCCCCAAGTCCCCAAGTCCCCAAGTTCCCAAGTTCTCAAGTCCCCAAGTTCCAAGTCCCCAAGTCCCCAAGTTCCCAAGTCCCAAGTCCCCAAGTCCCAAGTTCCAAGTCCCCAAGTCCCAAGTCCCAAGTTACCTGACGGATCGTTGAACTCAAAGAAACAGCCGCCCTCCTTACAGTTGTGCCCATCTTCAGCCAAAATATAACCAGCATTGCAACTGCACTTGTAAGCACCTGAAATTCGTCTTTTGATTCTAAAACTTTACTTTCCCAAACTAGTGGCAATGCTTTAGCTTTTCAAAAAAAAACTACAATAGCTTTTCTTGAGGGTTTTAAAACAGCATAACCTTGAATGTTCAAAGTTTTGTTTGTTTCTTTTTTTTGCTTAAAAATTCTCTCACCAATTCGATTCTCACAAATGTGCTCACAGCCAGCATTCCCATGTTGACATTCATCGAAATCAGCAAAGAAATCCATTGAGAAACCTTTTCTTTCAACACTTGAATCCGAAACAAACTCAAGACGAACTCGATTCGAATCCGAAGTCAAGAAAAGTGGTTCGCCTGTGAGATAAAAGTTCTTCTAATTCTATCATAATATTGGGTTGGTGAATTGAAAACTGCCGGCTATTTCGCGGGACTCGCAGATAAAAAAAAACAACAGCATTGAACCAGCTGAAAGGGGGTTTGGTTACTTCAACATTTCCTCAAACTGACTCTAAAATAAATTGCCTCAGTTGGGAGCTTTTGGCGCATCCCCCATACAGTCCGGACCTCGCCCCTTTTGATTACTATTTATTCCGGATCATGAGCTATTCCGGATCCTGAGCTATTCCGGATCATGAGCTATTCCGGAGCATGAGCTATTCCAGATCATGAGCTACTTCAGATCATGCGCTTAATGAGCTTGCGGGAGAACACTTCGATTCGGAAGAAGCAGTCAAAAATTGGCTTTGAAAGTTTTTTGTTTCAAAACCAAAATCCTACTACGAAAGAGGAATCCGCAAATTGCCTTTAAAATGGGCAGAAGTCGTCAATAATAATGGGAATTATTTCGAATGAATTTATGGTTGTATGTTGAATAAATTTCAGTTCAAAGTCCCGCAGTTTTCAATTCACCAACCCAATAGAATAGATTTAAACGAAAACTTCGTTAAAACAAATCCACCAATTTAAGAACACTTTTAAGAACACTTTTAAGAACGCCTTTTTCTATTGCCATATTTCTGTAATAGTAGCGCGCACTACTATTTTTTCAACCCCCCTCCAGATTGCGCTACTATTCAGCCTGCACTACTATTCAGCTTGCACCACTATTCAGCCTGCACTACTATTCAGCCTGCACTACTATTCAGCCTGCACCACTATTCAGCCTGCACTATTATATACTGCACTACTATTACAGCCTGCACCACTATTACAGAAAATACGGTATACAGACGTGAAGTTTTGAAGTGAAGTTTTGATAAGAGCATCTAAAGGACAAGAGCATTTGTAGGCTTTCATTTCTACAACTCCGTCCACTATACATCTCAATTTTAATCCTCAATAAATTTATAAATTTATAAATTTATAAATCTATAAATCTATAAATTTTCTTTCTCTCATAAACAAATCCGAAGCTAAATCAGGGTCTTTTCTTCTGCATAAATAAATCGTTTTGTGTATAATGAGCTAGAAATCTTTTTCTTTTTCTCCAAGTTGATAGTTAAAATGCTCTTTCATTCCATATTAGAGATATTTCAAATTGAAAAACTTTTAAGAAAGCATTACTTTCTATCAAACTACATCATTACATCAGCATTTGCATTCATCATTACATTTTGAATCAATAGAAATCTGATCAGGTTCTTGGTCTTCACTTCTGGCTTAACTCTGAGCATTTTACTCTGAGCTTTGCTAAAAAGATTTCTTTTGAAAGCTTTTGTATTCAAAATGCTGAAAATCGGAAAGTGACGGAAAGTTTTAATAGTCAAAAAGTGATAGGCAAAGTTTTTTCAACAAAGTTCATCATCGAAATTTCCATCTGTCTAATCAAATGCTTCATTTTTTTCCGATCAGTTAGCTATAAGCCTAAGACTAAGGACAACTATGTGAACCAAAGTTCTTGTGATGATCTAGATCTTGGTCTGAAGGCTCTTGGTTCAGGCCAGAGCTGGCTTTCGGCTCGTCTATGAATTTGTCTTGGATTTCTGACAACTATGTAGACCAAAGCTCTTGTGCTGATCAAGGGTGAGCCTAAAAGCCGGGCTCAATCTGAAAGCTCTTGGCTTAGATCAAGGCTGGCTTTTGACTCGTCTATAACTTTAACATTGTTCTAGCCTGGTTCCAGGCTCTTGGTCTGACCAGCTTCTTCGTCTCCACTTCTGGCTTAACTAATTTTAGTCTGAGCTTATCCGCCAGCCTACCGGGCTGGATCGATAGATCGATAGAAATTGAAAATTTATTAAAAGTTAATCCTATATTGTAGTTTTTAAAATTTTGTTTTTCTTTCTATGCATATCTTATTGTCTTATTGGCTAGGCCAACGACTTCATCTAATTCAATTTTCTTCAAAAAATTTTCAAGAAAATCAAGAGCTCAGCTTTCCTTTAAAGCTTTCCTTTAGAGCTTTCCTTTAAAGCTTTTCTTTAAAGCTTTCCTTTAAAGCTTTCCTTTAAAGCTTTCCTTTAAAGCTTTCCGTTAAAGCTTTCCTTTTTCAATCAATAATTATTTTTCAGTTTAAATTCCACCCACAAAAATGATTCCTTATAAAGAAAAAGAAAAGAAAAGCAGTTTTTCTACAAACTTTCTTGTCAATCTTATCTTAAAAATGAATAAAATTAAAATACTTACGATATTCTCCACACAATCGATTCCTTTCCCCGATTCTCACGTAATCATAAGCGCACTCAGTTTTCATACCCTCAATGTTGAAATGAGTGAAATTGATGAAAATCTAAAACAATGAGAAATAATCATTTTCTCTAATAATAGTGCACTCGGGCGAGCCGAGTTGATGCCTATTTTACGGTTTCGAAGCTTTTGCAGAAGCTCAACACTCAAATCGCCCACTAGATCTCATCGTCAGCTACATTTTCCGACCCCACATCGATATGTTCTGCTAAGCGGCTCTCGAGATTACAAGGAATTTAGGCAAGCTTATGGACTAGTATTAGGGACCAGCTTCTTTGAGATCAGCTTCTCCTTTAATTACCAGCTTCTTTAAGCTTTGTTGGATTTGTTACGGTAGATTTGTAGCCGAGTTGGTGACTATTTGACGGCTTCCAAAGTTTTCACAGAAGCTCAACACTCAAATCGCCCACTAGATCTCATTGTCAGCTACATTTTCCGACCTCACATCGATAGGTTCTGCTAAGCGGTTCTCGAGATTACAAGGAATTTAGGCGACGCTTAGGGTGCACTACTCTATTAGAGCTATCTATACTCTACTAGAGCTATCTATACTCTATTAGAGCTATTAGAGCTATTAGAGCACTACTCTATTAGAGAAAATCCGGTAAATCTATCCGAATTCAATTTGAATTAGATCAAATGATTGATTTCAAATCTAGTTATTTATTTTGTACTTAGAAACTTGATTGACTTAATTCTAAGTTTCAAGTCAGAAACTTGAAAGTGAACTTAGATTCTTAAGCGACAAAATTTCTTGTTTAAGCTATATCTAGTGGTTTGTAATGGGCATTTGTTTACGAAAATGGCATAATCACCTCTTCCAACTTCTTTATCTCAAACTTTATTTCCATAAATCGACAAATAGCATAAAGTCTCTAATTCACCTGATATCCTTCACCAGCTTCAATCTCCCAAACACAATTTTTCCCAGGTGGATAATTCTCGGGGAAATTTGGACTCTGAATGGAGCCGCTTGAGGCACGCAGGAATCCACCACAAGTGCCTGGGAAGATTAAATGTAAATTCAAAGGAGTTTTCAATGTTTAATGCTTTAAAAAAAGCAGTACTAATCTTAAACAAACAACACTTAAGCCTAAACAAATAATATAATGAAAATCACTTTCACAAGTCCTTCCATCTGGTCGAAGACTGAAACCGATATCGCACTTGCAACTGGAAATCTTTTGATTAAGTTTTTTTTGATAGAAAACTAGAGTAACGATTATCTACTATTTCTTTTACTACAGAGTGACAAAGAATAACCGCAACAACGTCGTTATGAGCCCCACTTCACTTTTTCCTTACCTGTTTTTATGATTTTTCGATGATGCCTATTTGCTCGCCACGGTGAACGCGTTTCCCAAACATTTGCAAGCCTGTCTGAATGCCGATGGAGGCAAATGGCTTTAATTCTTAATTTGTCTTATAAGCGTGGCTCAAAAGGCAAAGAAAGTTCAAGAGTTTTGTTCAAAGACCTTCCCGGACTCCATCTGGTTTTCTGAGTGGCCACCCAGCTCACCCGATCTTAACCCATTTGATTACTCAGTCTTGAAGTGTTCTTGAAGCTAGGGCATTTGCAAAACTACATAAAAATATCGAAAGTTTGAAGAAGGCGTTCATCAAAGCATAGGATCGATGATGCCTATTTGCTCGCCACGGTCAACGCGTTTCCAAAACGTTTGCCAAACATTTGCACGCCTGAATGCCGATGGAGGCAAATTTGAATTTAATTGTTAATTTGTTACTGTTATGTGTTGAATAAAGATATTTAAGGGAACTTTTGGGTTTGGTTGGTTGGTCGGTTGGTTGGTGGGTTGGTTGGTTGGTTGGTTGGTTCGTTGGTTGGTTCGTTGGTTGGTTGGTTGGTTGGTTGGTTGGTTGGTTAAAAGCCAGGCCTTTTTTGTGTTGCGGTAATTCTTGGTCACCCTGTAGATGCTTTAAGCGTTCAATTTCTCAATTAAATATAGACAAATCACTGACCGAAATCCTCCAATCGTGTTCTCACAAATGTGCTCACAGTGATTTGATCCTTGACATTCATCCAATTCCTTTGTCCATTCGATTTCAAAACCACCCTTTTGCACAGAGTTATCAGAAGTGAATCTGGAAAGAAATTGCGAAAAATTGAGTTTGAGTTTGAGCTTGAGTTTCCGCTTGAGTCTCAGCTTGAGTTTCAGCTTGAGTCTCAGCTTGAGTTTCAGTCTGAGTTTCAGTCTGAGTTTCAGCATCAGCTTGAGCTTCAGTTTCAGTTTGAGGCTCAGTTTGAGGCTCAGTTTGAGTTTCAGCTTGAGTCTCAGCTTGAGGCTCAGCTTGAGTTTCAGCTTGAGTTTTAGCTTGAGTTTCAGCTTTAGTTTGATTACCTCAAAGTCAACACATTGCTATTCCCAGTAATCACGTTTTTTTCCGCGATTTGACCGCATAAACTAGCTAATGGATTACCTGAAAAACAAAATATTTCAAATAAACATTGCGAATTCAATATGTTAGAAAGGGCTGCGTTTTCAAATTCTCATAAACTCCACGAAACAAACCGATTCCTTCAATGGATCCCTCCCAAATGATGAGCTGATCGTAGATGCAATCTTTATGCTGTTCCACCTACATTATCCAAACAGTTTTCAATGTTTTTACGATAATTTCCTAATTCTTTTTCATTTTTTAAATAGCTATTAACAGTATTCTATTCATCTTATTCATCTTATTCATCTTATTCATTTTATTCATTTTATTCATCTTATTCATCTTATTCATTCTATTCATTTTATTCATCTTATTCATCTTATTCATTCTATTCATCTTATTCATCTTATTCATCTTATTCATCTTATTCATTTTATTCATTCTATTCATCTTATTCATCTTATTCATCTTATTCATCTTATTCATTCTATTCATCTTATTCATCTTATTCATCTTATTCATCTTATTCATTTTATTCATCTTATTCATCTTATTCATTCTATTCATCTTATTCATTCTATTCATTTTATTCATCTTATTCATCTTATTCATTCTATTCATCTTATTCATCTTATTCATCTTATTCATCTTATTCATTTTATTCATTCTATTCATCTTATTCATCTTATTCATCTTATTCATCTTATTCATTCTATTCATCTTATTCATCTTATTCATCTTATTCATCTTATTCATCTTATTCATCTTATTCATTTTATTCATCTTATTCATCTTATTCATTCTATTCATCTTATTCATCTTATTCATCTTATTCATCTTATTCATCTTATTCATTCTATTCATCTTATTCATCTTATTCATCTTATTCATCTTATTCATCTTATTCATCTTATTCATCTTATTCATCTTATTCATCTTATTCATCTTATTCATTTTATTCATCTTATTCATCTTATTCATTCTATTCATCTTATTCATCTTATTCATCTTATTCATCTTATTCATCTTATTCATTCTATTCATCTTATTCATCTTATTCATCTTATTCATCTTATTCATCTTATTCATCTTATTCATCTTATTCATCTTATTCATCTTATTCATCTTATTCATCTTATTCATCTTATTCATCTTATTCATCTTATTCATCTTATTCATCTTATTCATCTTATTCATCTTATTCATCTTATTCATCTTATTCATCTTATTCATCTTATTCATCTTATTCATCTTATTCATCTTATTCATCTTATTCATCTTATTCATCTTATTCATTTTTTTTCTAATTTACCTGAAAAAAGTAGACTTTTAACGCTATTTGATATCCTTTTTCAACATGAATCCTCCATAAACAGTCGGAATTCGGTGGATAGGAATCGGGATATCTAAAGATTATAAGAAATAAAGATATAAGAAATAAAGATATAAGAAATAAAGATATCTAAAGATATATTAGGTTGTTCGGATATAAACAAGCGTTACTAAACTTTTTGTTGTGAGGGAAGCTTTTAAAACATGTCTTTTTGTATTTAAAAGTACGTTATCTTGTGGATATTTGGAATGTTTTTAAATAAATAATTTCTGATTTTTAAGATCTTTTTTCTTGGTTTAGATGACCGACTTGAAACATCAAGTTCTGCCTACGACTTCAAACTGGGCACAACAGTCGCGGAATCCCATCGAGATTTGGTCAAAGCATTTGGGAATGATGTATTGTTCGAAAGCCGATGCCGAACCTGGTTCCAACGCTTTCGGAATGGTGATGAAAGTCTCGAGGATGATGAACACTCTCGTCGACCTATGTTGACCTATCTCGTAGACAACGATATTTTGAGGGTTGCAATCGAATCGGATCGATGTCAAACGATGCGTGAACTTGCGCAACAGTTTCTATGTTCAAATTCTACCATTGATGAGCATCTACACGCCATTGGAAAGGCGATCAGATGGCTAGATCAGAGCGGGAAATGGCTAGATCAGATGCGATCAGATGGCTAGATCAGATGCGATCAGATGGCTAGATCAGAGCGGGAAATGGCTAGATCAGATGGCTAGATCAGAGCGGGAAATGGCTAGATCAGATGGCTAGATCAGAGCGGGAAATGGCTAGATCAGATGGCTAGATCAGAGCGGGAAATGGCTAGATCAGATGGCTAGATCAGAGCGGGAAATGGCTAGATCAGATGCGATCAGATGGCTAGATCAGATGCGATCAGATGGCTAGATCAGAGCGGGAAATGGCTAGATCAGATGGCTAGATCAGAGCGGGAAATGGCTAGATCAGATGGCTAGATCAGAGCGGGAAATGGCTAGATCAGATGGCTAGATCAGAGCGGGAAATGGCTAGATCAGATGGCTAGATCAGAGCGGGAAATGGCTAGATCAGATGCGATCAGATGGCTAGATCAGATGCGATCAGATGGCTAGATCAGAGCGGGAAATGGCTAGATCAGATGGCTAGATCAGAGCGGGAAATGGCTAGATCAGATGGCTAGATCAGAGCGGGAAATGGCTAGATCAGATGGCTAGATCAGAGCGGGAAATGGCTAGATCAGATGGCTAGATCAGAGCGGGAAATGGCTAGATCAGATGCGATCAGATGGCTAGATCAGATGCGGGCTCAAGAGTTAAGCAGTGCAAACGCTCGTTTATATCCAAACAACCTAATATTATATATCAAATATAAAAATCTAAAACTTTAAACCCCAAACAAAAGATTGAATAAAACCTTGGCGATTGAATGAAGCCATAATCTTGATAGATCGGACCCCCGCAAACCGCGTGGAAAACGCCAAACGGGAAATTCGGGAGTAAAGTCGTCTGAAAAATTTGACTCAATTGCCTATCTAGATCGAAGCGCTTTTTACATTTAGATATTATTGATAATTTTTAAACAAAATCACCCTCATTTCCACGTATAAACGATTGGAGGCGGAGACGATCGTCCGAAATCCCGGCTCGTCGCCGCAGATTTTCTCTGAACACTCAAAAAATCTCAAAGAAAACTTTCAAATTTATAACTAAATATCAAAATTTGTATTTGATTTCAATATTTAAATCTATTTTTAGTTTATAAAGCTCTAAACTTTCTCTAAACTTTATCCAATTTCAGTTAAAGTTTAAGGAAATTTAGCTAATTTTGATCAAACCGCTTTTCAAGAGAAAAATTTACATTTTAAGCAGATTTTAAATAGCTTAAGTATATTTATATGTTTAAATATATGTTTATTATATGTCTATTTTTAGTTTATAAAGCTTTAAACTTTCTCTAAACGTTATCCAATTTCAGTTAAAGTTTAAGGAAATTTAGCTGATTTTGATCAAACCGCTTTTCAAGAGAAAGATTTACATTTTAAGCAAAGATTTTAAACATTTAAAATATATTGTTATATAAATATAGATGTTAAATGAATCAAAAACATATCTAAAACATATCTAGATAGATTTATCGTATTAGTTTTGAAGTTTACCTAGAATTTTTGCGTTTTTATCATTTCCATCTCGCACAATGATCGAATTCTCTTTTTCGTCCACACAAGGCAAGATTGGAAGCTGAAAAAACAAACAAAACTAAAAAAAGCATTTCTTTTTTTCATTTCTCTTTTTTAAATACGAAAATTTACAAAATCTATCGGTTTTTTTTGTTTATTTTCCCAATTTAAACATAAAAAATTGCAAATTTCCCTCTTTTTTTAAGCTAAATACTCAATTTTCTTTCTGTTTCCTTCAAATTTCAGATTAAATTTGATTAGAATAGGAAAAGAATTTATATAAATAAAGTATTTCTATTTATTTCTATCTATTTCTATCTATTTCTATCTATTTCTGCCCAATTCTCTCTATTTTAGATCGATTTTGATATATCTATTAGGTTGTCGGATTATGAATTGCCGTTTTTATCAAAAAGTAATTTTATTATAAAATCAATACAAAAATAATTTAATCTAAAAGGTATTCTCCATCGGTATCTGTGACATATCGCTAACGTCCACGCAAAGAATGAATGCCCTTGTTGAAGAACTCGACCGGCTGTGACTCAAAGAAATTGGCCACCCAAATTTGGACTTCATCGCGGTTTTTGAATTTTTTTTCGACCAAGGAATGCTGCATCGACCGGAACAAAGGGTAATCAGATGGCGCAAGGTCTGGGCTATATGGCGGGTGAGGCAGAAGTTCCCAGCCCAATTCTTCAATTTTTTTGAGAGTTACTTTTGCGGTGTGTGGATGCGCGTTGTCATGGAGCAATTTTGTTGACGCTGTTTCCACTCCCTGTCGACGAAGCGATTGATCGACGCGGCTTAATTGTTCTTTGTAGAGGTCCGCATTAACCGTTTGACCAGAATTTAGCACTTCAAAATGCACCAATCCTTTGCTATTCCACCAAACACATAGCATCACCTTTTTGCCATGGATGTCTGGTTTTGGAGTCGGTTTTGAGGTTTGTCCGGGGTCCAACCATTGTCGTTTTCTAGTGGTATTATCAAAGGATATCCACTTTTCATCAGACGTGACAATCGACTCAAAAAACCACTGTTCTTGGCTTGACGCAAAAGAATTCCGGCCATATTGATTCGCGTTGTTTTGCTCAAATCGCTTAGTTCATGAGGCACCCATTTACCGCATTTATTCACCTTACCAATGGCATACAAGTGGTCAGCAATGGTGGAATGATGACAACCGAACCTCTCAGCAAGTTCTCGTGTCGTTTGGGCAGGATCAGAATCGATGGCTGCTTTAAGTTCCTCATCGTCCACAGTTTTTGGTCGCCTCTCATGTTCTTTGTCTTCAAGGCTCTCGTCGCCGTCCCGAAAGCGCTGAAACCAATTGCGACATTGACGTTCGTTGATAACATCTTCTCCGAATGCATTGCTGATAGAGCGATGGGATTCTGCCGCTGTTTTTCTTTGTTTGAAGTCGTACAACAAACAAATCCGCATTTTATTTTTGATGTCGTTCATTTCCTAAGACAAATTTATATTAAAAATCTAAGCAAATATAGACGAATAATATATCAATCGACGCGGCATAAAACGCTCTTTAATATAGTTAAAAAAGTACCACAAAAATTTATTTGAAAAAAAAATACAAAGCAAAAAAGACAACGGCAATTCATAATCCGACAACCTAATAAATAGTTTCCATTTATTCCACCCCCTTTTATCACCCCTCCCAACCCGCAATCTCTCTGCTGCCCTTGTGGCTTATTGGTTAGTGTCTTGCTTCTCGCTCCAACCCTCTCGGGTTCGATCCCGCTCACGTGCAATGAGGATAACACTAGAGTCTCAGAAATGACCATGTTTGATAAAACAAAGCTCAAAATCGCCAGAGCACGTGACTTTTGCATTTTCAACTTTGAAATGAACTCTTGAATAAACTCTTGAATCACCTTTGCTCTATTTTCTTCACTTACTTGCAAATCTTGTCCCGATATATTCAAAAATATTGAATTTCCCTCGGGAGCGATGATACGCCAAGCACATAGACCGTCAGAAGTCGGCGTGAGTTCAGCTGATTCACTGAGATAAGTTCGACCACAAGCTGAAATCGAAAATTTTCATTTGAACAACTGTTTACAGTGATCTCTCTATGCTAATCTATGTGTTAAATTAGCGAAATTCACTTGAACATCCGTATAACTGATTTGCTTGTCGAATATCCCCCTCAGAAAGCTCGACTCGTTGTCCGATCTCTTGCCGGAAACCTATAAAAGAGATTAAATGTTTAAAAGACTTTTTTTTTCCATCATAAAGTATCAACTCAAAACATTGTTGAACTTGTTTTTGTTTAAAGCAAAAGAAAAAGACCACTAGACTTGTGTTTCGGTTGAACCGGAAACGTTCTTTTTCGGTTCGGTTTCGGTTTTGGTTTCCATTTCGGTTAACCGAACCGAAAAACTAATCTTTTCGGTTGAACCGAACCGAGCCGAAAGATTTCGGTTGACCTCGGTTGAACCGAAAGGAGCCAACTGAAGCGAGCCAACCGAAAAGAGCCAACTGAAGCGAGCCAACCGAAACGAGCCAACCGAAAAGAGCCAACCGAAAAGAGCCAACTGAAGCGAGCCAACCGAAACGAGCCAACCGAAAAGAGCCAACCGAAAAGAGCCAACTGAAAGGAGCCAACTGAAACGAGCCAACTGAAACGAGCCAACCGAAGCGAGCCAACCAAAACGAGCCAACCGAAACGAGCCAACCGTAAAGAGCCAACCGTAAAGAGCCAACCGAAACACAAGTCTACCAGTCCACAAGTCCACTTACCACTACTCGGCTTCGGGAGAATGGTATCATGGAAGAGACCTCTCGAGAAAGTGTCCCTAGCATAGTGCATAACTGAATATCTATTTATCTAATGAAATCTATTCTTTTACATTAATCGAAATGTTTTTCTCAAAGTTTTACTTGACGCAAAATCGTATGGTTCTCCCAGCGAGTCGACCTCCCCAACTTTTGATTTCTCAAAGTTGTAATCTTGACCTAAACTTTGAACATTTATATAGTTAAATAAGTCTAGATAAATCTAGAGAATAAGATAAACTTTATCTGCTATATAAAGGAACTAAGATGTCTGTTTTTGTCTGTTTATCTGTCTATCTGTCTATCTATCTATCTATCTATCTATCTATCTGTGCGTGCTATTCCTCAGCTCCTAGAGGGCCGTTTCAAATAATTTATTGCTAGTTTGACTTAGAATTTCATCTAGTTTTGCTAAAACTAAAATCTCCGAGCCGGGTCAGAGTTGAACCCGGATTTTGTGAGCTAAAGACAAGCGCCCTCGCACTGCACCATCTACTATGGTCGAGTGGTTAACGTCTCACAAAAGAACGGAAGAGTTCGGTCGCGAGTTCGTCTCCTCTTCCCACCAATTCTATTGCTTTTTTTCTGCAAAAACAGCAGCAAAGCGTAACAAAAAGATCGATAACACATCAAATTCACATAACTTACCCGTTTGTATACTTTTATAGAAGATATCCACATAAAGATCCCGATCCGGTCGAGTGTGCTCATGCCAGAAACCGATCACGTGACCCAGCTCGTGAACTACTGAAAGGAAAAGGTACGGGAGAAGAGATAAATGATATTTATGCATTGAAATGTTCAAATTAAGTCATGGGTCTATAAAACATGAGAAAAAAAGATAGCTCTACCTAGCCTTTAGCCGATCTAGACTTGCAGTCAAGCTAGTTAAAGCCTTGCTTAGTTCAAGGCAAGCTAGTTAAAGCCTTGCTTAGTTCAAGGCAAGCTAGGGAAAGCCTTGCTTAGTTCAAGTGAAGCTAGCTAAAGCCTTGCTTAGTTCAAGTGAAGCTAGCTAAAGCCTTGCTTAGTTCAAGTGAAGCTAGCTAAAGCCTTGCTTAGTTCAAGTGAAGCTAGCTAAAGCCTTGCTTAGTTCAAGTGAAGCTAGGGAAAGCCTTGCTTAGTTCAAATGAATCTCGTTAAAGCTTTCACTTGGTTTCCAATAAAGTAAAGCCCTGCCTACATCTTTAAACACAAAGTACACTTACCAATTCCAAATTTATCGCAATTCTTCCCGATCGAGATGGATTGAGGCCCGTCACCTCGTCGGCCAACATAAGAGCAACAACTGTAAAGAAAAGCTTTAATCTTTAAAAAACTTTAAGAACTTTAAGAATAACTTTATCGAAAAACGACTAATTTCTTTTTAAATGTTTTTTTTCGATAAAATTAATTCTTTTACATTTTCAAACTGTAAAGAGACAAAAATGACTTCAATATTTGGTAGAATAATCTCCAAAATAAATAAAATAATCTCCAATTGATTCACTCGAAAACAGAAGAGTTTACAAGCTTTTCCTTAGCATTCCCATCACTCACCCACATTTGTCGACGGTGAAAACAATATAGTTTTTATGCGCACGTGTTCTGGGAATAAACGTGAGGCAAGTATGATTCTCCCAATGTCTCATCGCTTTCAAAAAGAGATTCTTTTGCTCACCTAAAAGCTAATAAATATTACCAAAATCGACTATCTGTAGTAAGATTTGATTTTTTTTTTTTTGAAACAATTTCAAGCACTACAATAAATTTTTTGTTATTTCACCGTTATTTGAAGTGTTTTTATGAATCTATAAAATAGAATTTATAAATTCAGAGCTAAGAAAAGCAGAAAAGCTTTGATTACTGTATTGCTTTTGGTACCGAAAAGGCTTTCAGTACTGAACAGGCTTTTGGTACCGAAAAGGCTTTCGGTACTGAAAAGGCTTTCGGTACTGAAAAGGCTTTCGATACTGAAAAGGCTTTCGGTACCGAAAAGGCTTTCGGTACTGAAAAGGCTTTCGATACTGAAAAGCTTGGATTACTGTATTGCTTTTGGTACCGAAAAGGCTTTCAGTACTGAACAGGCTTTTGGTACCGAAAAGGCTTTCGGTACTGAAAAGGCTTTCGGTACTGAAAAGGCTTTCGGTACTGAAAAGGCTTTCGATACTGAAAAGCTTGGATTACTGTATTGCTTTTGGTACTGAAAAGGCTTTCAGTACTGAAAGCTATCAAAAGCCTGGGGATCAAAGCATGGAATCAGAATTTGCAATTCGGATGAACACAGCGATTGGCAGTGAAAAGCGTTATAGAGTTCCATAGAGTTCGGCAAACAAAACTAAAACCAAAACAGACCAAAACCAAAACCAAAACAAAACCAAAACTCAATTTGCATATAAATTAACATGTAAATTTAAAATTGTAAAATGCAAATTTTATTGTTTTGATTTAATGTTTTAATTAATGTTTTAATTTTAAATTTTAAAATGCAAATTTTAAATTGTAAAATGCAAATTTTAATGTGTAAAATGCAAACTTTAAGGTAAAATGCAAATTTGCCTTTCACTTTTTCTCACTCCCCAAAATCTCGCGGCCGAAAAAAGGACCAAAACACGACCTCGAAATTTCGAAACAAAAAGTAGCCTATGGGATAGATTTTTGGACGCTGATTTCAAATCTGCAAACAGATTTTCGCTAGCTCCTCCCAATCGCGAGATATTGGCGAGTTTTGGTTAGTTTTGGTTTTAGTTTTGGTTTGGTTTTGGTTTGGTTTTGGTTTTGGTTTTGTTATGGTTTTGGTTTTGGTGGTTTTGGTTTTGGTTAAGTTTTGTTTTCCGAAGTCTAGTTATCCAACACCACCAACAAATGATCGCTTATGAAAAGAAGTCTCTTAGAGTATAAAAGTCTATAAAAATCAGAGTTTTTGCGTAAGAAAATAGTAGAATCATAAATTTACATTCATAAACACTAAGATTTAAACATTTTCACGATTTTAAAGTATTTTAAAGCTTTTAAAGATTTTAAAGTATTTTGAGATGAAGAAAGTGCTTGAAAATGATCTTTTCTTTTTTGTTGTTCTTCACTTAGTCTATTTGGCGTCAAAAGCTGATCAAATTTTGCTTTGAAAAAGAAATGAGAACATATGAATCAGAACATAGTTAGAATAAACTTTCCTGAAAAGTTCTTTGAGATCAAATATGGGATAGTGGCGTCAGGCCAGAGTCGTTCCTTTTTCGCGGTAGCTGCTCGAATTTTTCGTCGAAATTTGATCAATTCTTGATTTTCATTTAATTCAGCTCTTTTTATTCTCATTTCTTTTGTTTTAAAGAAACCAAATGGAATTAAATCGAGATTTTCATCGTTTATTTGAAATTTATATGGGAAAGCATCAAAAGAAGTTGATGCTTGAAAGAATAGAACAAATAAAATGATCATTGTAAAGAATGGTAGCTGGTAAATTTGGTAGAGTTCAAGGGATCAATAACAATACTGAAGTACTGTAGCTGGTAAGAGTATTGTAGTAAATGGTGTAAATATGGTAGAGTTGCAGTAATTAATGAATAACAATACTAAAATACTGTAGCTGAAGCTGTAAATAGGCTGCGATCTGAGAGCTGATCTGAGAGCTGATCTGAGAGCTGATCTGAGAGCTGATCTGAGAGCTGATCTGAGAGCTGATCTGAGAGTTGATCTGAGAGCTGATCTGTGAGCTGATCTGATCTGCCAATAGTTCTACTAATTACTTTATTTGTAAATAGTCAACCAGAAGTAAATTTACAGTAAATGATAGTTCACAAGTAGAGCTTCAGCACTGTAATTAGCTGAGTCGAGTTGCTGTAACAGTGACAGTACCTAGAATTGGACTGATGTTATAGCAGTGAATAACAGTACTAAAGTACTAGGGTATTGTAAAATAGAATAAGGACTATATAATAAAAAAGTTAGTTTAAGAAATCGTCCTGCATTAGCTTCTTGCTGCAATCAACTCGAAATTCTCGAATTTTCTTAGAGAAATTTGAATTTAATCGACTAGTGATGTTGGTTTGGGCAAAAAGATTTTCGAAGGGGGGGTTTCGGTGACAAAATTGTGATGGAGACCATATGTTCGAATGGATAAAAGAAAGAGAAAGAGAGGAAGAGAGAAAGAGAGGAAGAGAGGAAGAGAGGAAGAGAGAAAGAGGCTTTTTGTCTTTTTTGACCGATCCCCTTGTCTCCTTTGAGTTGTAATACGATCGTTCCGTCTGTTTTACAAAAATTTCGTTAACTGACTATGGATTTCTTTGATGTGAAAACGAAAAAAACAATAAAAACAATAAAATAATCGTCTAGAATTCTAAACTTTCATCAGTGAGTTTTATTTTTTATTTTATTTTATTGATTAAATGATTTTACGGGGATTTAGACTAAGAAAAGAGTTGTTTTTGGCTTTTGTAAGAGATATATTTTTGATGAATTGAATTGAATTGAATTGAATTGGGTTGGTGAATTGAAAAGTGCAGGCTATTTCGCGGGACTCGCAGATAAAAAAAAACAACAGCATTGAACCAGCTGAAAGGGGGTTTGGTTACTTCAACATTTCCTCAAACTGACTCTAAAATAAATTGCCTCAGTTGGGAGCTTTTGGCGCATCCCCTATACAGTCCTGACCTCGCCCCTTTTGATTACGATTTATTCCGGATCATGAGCTATTCTGGATCATGAGTTATTCTGGATCATGAGCTATTCTGGATCATGAGCTATTCTGGATCATGCGCTTAATGAGCTCAAACTGACTCTAAAATAAATAGCCTTGTTTGGGAACTTTTGGCGCATCGAACTTTTGACATATCCAGTCCTGACCTCGCCCCTTTTGATTACTATTTATTCCGGATCATGAGCTATTCTGGATCATGAGCTATTCCGGATCATGAGCTACTTCAGATCATGAGCTATTCCAGATCATGAGCTATTCCGGAGCATGAGCTACTCCGGATCATGAGCTATTCTGGATCATGAGCTATTCCGGAGCTTACGGGAGAACACTTCGATTCGGAAGAAGCAGTCAAAAATTGGCTTTGAAAGTTTTTCGATTCAAAACCAAAATCCTACCACGAAAGAGGAATCCGCAAATTGCTTGTAAAATGACCAGAAGTCGTCAATAATAATGGAAATTATTTCGAATGAATTCCTGGTTTTATGTTGAATAAATTTTAGTTCAAAGTCCCGCAGTTTTCAATTCACCAACCCAATATTTATACTTTGATCTTTATAATTTCTTTTGAGACCGTTTCTCGGTGTGGTTCAATAGTAGATGTATTGAATGCTTGAATGAACAACAACAATCAAAAACTTTCCCTTATTAGGGTAAACTTCGCTTAAACTGGAGAAACCTGGCACTATCACAATTACTTCGACACTTGCATGTGAAAAGGATGAATAGAAAAGGAGCACACAACTGACTCAAAACAAAGCTTAAATCATGGGTTTTTAAGTGCACAAGCTACGCCAAATGGACAACTGAATATCGTCTAGTGGCTGGATTACGGTAGTTTATCCATCAGCTTTAAATTTTAACTTGTATATTGAATTTTGACTAACTGCAGAGCAGTTGCAAAGGAACCGATGTGTAGAGAAAAGGAACCAAATTTGTAGAGAATAGGAACCAAATTGGTAGAGAAAAGGAACCAAATTTGTTGAGATAGGGAACCAAATTGGTAGAGAATAGGAACCAAATTGGTAGAGAAAAGGAACCAAATTTGTAGAGAATAGGAACCAAATTTGTAGAGAATAGGAACCAAATTTGTAGAGAATAGGAACCAAATTGGTAGAGAAAAGGAACCAAATTTGTTGAGAATAGGAACCAAATTGGTAGAGAAAAGGAACCAAATTTGTAGAGAATAGGAACCAAATTTGTAGAGAAAAGGAACTTTGTTTACGCTTTCTTAATTGAATCTTTGTTGACAGTAACGTAGAGTTTAGTATTGTAATATGTGCTGAAAAGTTGTCTCATCTTTATTGCAGTTAAGTTAAGTTAACCTTAACAACTTAACTTTAACCAGTTAAGTTAAGTTAACCTCTCAAGTTAACCCATAAAGCAGGGTTACTTTATGAGCTTTACTTTTTAGTTTTTTTTAGTAGTTTTTTTTAGTAGATTACTGGATTGTATACTGAAAAAGCTTCTTTCGTTTCCACAAAAACAAAAAAAAACCTTTTATTTGGCAGTAAAGAAAGAAAAAGACAAAGAAAAATAGCTCAAAAAGTTCAGTTTTGGTATTTTCAATATTTACGTAAAATTGCAACAAAATTTCGTAAAGCAAATAAAAATAAAGAAAAAATTAATGAAAAATTAAGAAAAACTACAATTTGCACATAAAAAGAAATTGATAAAATAAGAAATAATCAATAATATTTGGGATTAGCAATCAATTACTTCTTTTCGCAAGCTTCTTTTCATTCATTTGGTTGGTGGTGACCGAGTGGGTAACGCTTTTGACTGCTCAATCGCAGTCTTTGGCCAATTGGTCATACTTTGATCCCAGGCCATAGTCAAAAGCTTTTTTTTTTTTGCTAACTCCAAATTTTTGAATTCAAATTCAAACTAGAAAGAAAACAACAAGGGCTAGGAAAGGCACAAACACGTCTTTTTACGAATAGCTGAATCTAGTTGGAGGGAATGAAAATCTAAAAAAATTGCTTTAAAAAAGAAAGATTAAATTTTATGAATAAAATTTAAAATTCAAGAGCTTTTAGACTAAATTTTGACAAAAATTTGCTTTTTTGAATTTTGATAAATTAAGAAATGACAGAAATTCGTTTTTTTGAAAAATTAGAAGACAGAAGAAGAGAGATGTTGCGTGAAAATGGGTACTTGTCGGTTCTACATCCACAAAGACTCCCCCTCGATTAAGCATCCCCATCCGAGTCTTCTCGGTTATCGATTTTCGTTCGACCAATCGACTGATCACACTTCAGACGAGCACTCTACTTTCACTGATCATAATCACCACTCACAATTTGTCAGCTCCTTGCTTAACCGAGTTGAGTCTCTGTGAATTCTCTGTGGATTCTCTGTGACTGTAGAACCGACAATTACCAGAAAATGCGTAGATTTCAAAAAAAATTGGAATTATGATTGTGAATAAGGTATTCAGTTAAGATTAAGATCTAATTATTAATAAAATAAAGATTTTTAAACTTTAGTGATTCGTCGAGGTGCTCCGCGAGGCGGTTGTGGCTTGGCGAAGTGTTTGGGCGACTCGACTGGGGTCTGGAAAAAAGTTGAATTGATTTTTTTGTGCTGAACACCAGTGCTAGGGTACGTTAACACCAAAAACTAAAAAGTGTCCAGCTAGTGTAACCACTTTAGAGCTTTTCTCCAAACAGCTGCGCCCCTGATTACAGTAAATCGATAATTATTTCCCTAACCGCTCAAACCAAGGTCTTTACATTGTCTTTACATTAAAACTAGATATTAAGGCAATCCTATGCAGGGTTACGGTGGTATCTACACTCCAAGCTACGGTAACTAGAGCACACTTTTGAGCGGCTAGTCGAATTTGATTCAACTCACCGGATGCAGAAGCTCTCTCAACGCTTTCTCAGAGAGATCATCCTTTGCATCGACTTCCATCTGAAAATATTGGTTATCGGACATTTGATATCGGCCCCTTTTCCCATTAGCAATCTGACTTTGAGCTCAAATATCTTGGTGTTAGGCTGTCCAATTTAAATGTTCTTGATATCATTCGATTTGTCAAGTCTTTCTCTATCGATTGGTACAAAAGGTATTTCATTTGAACAGCTCAACACCAAGATATTTGAGCTCAAAGTTGGATTGCTAATGAGAAAGGCGGGCGGGGCGTGTATTAAATGTCCCAAAATCGAAAATATTGGCCATAAGTTCAATAATAACTATGAAACCATGTAAAACAAAGCTTTTACTTTTACTCTTAAAGATATTCAGTCAGTTTTTATTTATTAAATTTTCTAAAACAAACCTTTTTCGTGATCTCGGCTTGCATGTGAACTTGAGCGGCTTGCAAGAACGGGGCTTTACAAGATGAATACAGCATTCGCTCTTTAATCGAAGAACCGGCGGAGGGAAGGGAATAGATGAAAACTAAAGAAAAGAAATTTTAGTAAAGTATTAAATCTAGATATCTTTTATATAGTTTTTTTAAAACCAGTATTAACTTTATACCACTGTTTTCTAAGGATTTGGATCCCATTTGAAACCATACTTGCATCTATTAGCATCTTCAAAAACTCACTGATGCTATTGTATGGTCGATCATCGTGCGTGTGCTCGAAACGATAGAACGTGTATCTGGGTTTATTCCGGGGGATTCGTCCGGCGAGCTCGGACGCGGAAACCGATGCTTGAGTGTCCTCCAATTTGATCGCCTCATTTAATGTGTCCACCTGAAATTGAAAAGCTTTTTAAATAGTCTTTTTAAACCTAGTCAATCTTATCAAATTTCTTACGATTTAAAAAGTTTAGACAAATATATTTAAACGTAAGCCAAGCGAAGCCAGGTCTTGGTTTCGATTGGCCAAGGAGCAGTAAAAGTCTAGGCCTTGCCAGTACTGTCTTCTGATTTGATGCTGAACAGACCTGGCTTGGCCCTGATCTAGAAAGAAGCCAGACCTGATCTTGGGATCCTGGTCCGTAAAATTTTGTTTAGAACATGCAATCCAAATATCTATTCACTCAATTTTCGCACTTACCGATAACTGCACGAAGTTGAGCTTGTGATTCCCAAGTTCTTTCAGCGCATCCTCAGCGTTTCGATCCAACGGAAAAACGACACCTGAAAGTTATATTAATAAGATAGTTATATGCAAATTCATTTAGTTCTAAACATATTCTCAATTTGCATATTTCCAAATTTCAAACCTCACCTTTCATGCCGGCCGGGGCGGCACCCTGTGCTGCCGAGCGCTCCTTGGCCGCCGTGAAAAGTTCTAAATAAACTTTTTTAGAAAAAGATAATTTAGCTATAATATAGTGCATATCTAAATATTTATATCTAGCTTTCTATATTATCTTGTATTTTTTTCACCTTGTTCAACTTCACTCATCGGTCCGATCTCTTGCTTTCCCTTCAACCAGCTTTCGAGTGAGTCCAGGGTGAGGTCTTTTCTGGAAATGATTCATTGACAAGATATATCAATGGTTTTAAACGCAAATTAAACGCAAATATTTCTAATTAGGCTATTGGAGTTGCTTATCACTAAATTTAGCCAAAATAGAACTAGAACTAGAACTAGAAAATTTCTCTTACCGATCAGTGACGTGTCTCTCGTACTCGATATAACAAGCACCGAATTCAGATTTGAAAGTGGCACACGTGGCGGCGAGTAGCATTTTCTCTTTCACTGGCGCACGATCGTCGGCGAAACTGAAAAAAAAAAACACCTGAATTATCTACCTTCCAAAATCATTTCTGTCAATATAAGCGCACCCCTTCTAATGCATTGAATTCTTTATTTTTCTTTCAGCTCACCGAAAAAAAAAAACAAAGAATCCAAGGCATCAGAATTTTACAAATTTAACTAAAAACAAAACTCACGTAATCAAAATCCATTCAGTAATGGTGTTCAATCGGAAAAGAACGAAACACGGCTCAAACGAGTCGACACATTCCGGTAGCGTAGCTCTCCAGTCACTTCTCCAATCCGGACTCCCTTTGTACTCATAGTTCGGGTTCAACTCCTCTGAAAATCGAAATTGAGTTGAAGCTTGATCTGTATCATATTATTTTCCAAGACTAACCATTTCTGATGACCACTTTGATCAACCGCAACTTCGCCTGTTTCGCGAGGTTGAACGCATTTCGGAGGGCATCGTTTGCTGAAATCAAAGAATATTATGCAACTACTTTGACCTATCTTTTAAAGCTGATAAATTTATATTGTTCTTTCACTGTCATTTGCTACTTATTTGTTTACATGTTAAACGGTGGTGGGAAATTCCCAACAACACATCCCTAAAACAAGTGTTATCATAGACCCCACCTAGACAACTCACAATCAAAGCTAATTTTACAACACTAAATCCCTTTCCCATTTATCTTTAGTTTCCAAAAATTTCCCGTCAGAAATCTCCGTCAAACAACGGATAAATTTTGTTAAAAAAAAAAACGCAGGACAACTATTTGTCGAGACAACAAATCCCTCGACAAACACCCGGATCTCAATCAAACAATCGAAAATGTACAAGATGTACAAGAATACTCTAACCTCAAAAATAAAGTACTTCTTTCGATCTAGATCTAGATCTAGATTCTAGATCTACTTTAGATCTAGATTTTATAAAATCTAAGAAAGGGAACAGAGTTTTACAGATTTTTTTGAATAAAATTACATAAAAATTCGAACCTTTTCCAACATTTGGCAAAATTTTGAATGCAAACGGGTAATATTTATATTTTTGTGGCATTTCTTTTGAGTGAATTGAAATTCGCTTTCAGTGAAAGTGAACAAAAGTTCGTAAAGCCGATTTGCACAAAATTTTTCACTCTATTCATGAGTGAAAATTTTATTTTCGATTGAACGAGACTTTAAAATTGAATATTAAAGTCAAGTAAACTTTAAAATTGAACATTAAAGCCAAGTAAACTTTAAAATTGAATATTTTAAAGTTTACTTGACTTTTTCGTTTTTTTTTTTTAATTCTTCAAAATAAACCTCGAATTCCGGTTTGGCAAGACATCACTTCTTCAGTAAATTTCGAGTGGCTTTAGTCCAAAAATCCTTCCGGTGAACCCTGGAAATGCTTTGAAATTTAAAAAGATTATTTTGCTAAAAAAAAAAACAAAGAAATTTTTTTAGATAACGGCATTATTTGCCGAAAAGGATTGCAGCCAAATGACAAATGAATCATCTTCGGGAAATGTTTTTTTACACAAAACATAAAAGAAAAGTTGATTGAGGAAAGATTTCTCTGGGATCCGGGCAACAAATCAATACAAGCTTCAGCAAAATTCTTTGAATAAAGTAAAGATCGATGGTTCGAGCTTCTATACTCATCCAAATCTTAGACCAGTTAAAAGCCAGCGAACTAGTCTATGCAGGTCTATCTCTGACTTCTGCTGGGCCAGGGTTGACCCTGGCATTGCTCGGCTCCAAAGAATTGACTCTGGAATAAGTCAATTTTTCAAGCGTTCACCAGTAAAAGCTAGGCCTAAGCCTGACGCTGGAATTGCTTGACCCAGAAAAATTAACTCTGGCACAGTCTGTTGTTTTACAATCAATTGTATTAGTCTTAGGTTTGATATCAAATCCAAATGTGCTCGAGTCATAGATGAATTCAAGTTCAAACGGTGCATTTGATGATCGATCTAGGCTAAGCCGTGGGCCAAGCAGCCCCGCTACTTTCAAAACTTTAAAGAGTTTTGAAATTAATCTCTATGCTAAGGATAAAATATGTTTAAGGCTAACAGAATAAAACAACAACAACAACCCCAGTAAACAAAACGATCGATAGAAGAGGCTTCAGCTGAATTCCTCAGATAAAGCTAGAATGAGGGGTGGAGCCCCAAAAACGGAAGCTCTTTGAAAAAGAAGAAAGGAAAAGAAAAGATGGAGACCTCGAAAAGGTCAATAAGAAGTGGTTGGTACATAGAAAGAAGGGAAGAATGGAAGAGAAGGGACTCTATGAAAGGGGTCTCTTGGTTTGGATCGAGACGAGCAGAGACACAGGGTTTTCTCTTTCCAACTCTAACCATTTTCCTACTCTTTTCCTTTCACTGTTCCCCCAAATTGTGGATCTTTTGCGTCGGCGGACTCTAGGATTTCCCTAGTATTTTCATAGAAATTGCAGCCTTTTCCCCAAAAAGCCGTTCGAGGTCGTCGGCCAATACCCCTACACCCCACCACTTTCTCTTTCTCTTAGTTTTGCCTGCAGACTGGGATAGGCTGAAGGGTAAAAGAGCGCAAAGCCAGGGTACCCTTCTCTTACCCTTTCTCTCACTCTCAATTTCCCGCACCAACACCCCGAGCACCCAGCTGATGCCATGAATGGCCCCAGCACCTCAAAGCAAACAATAACGAACTTGGTTCACTCTATCTTCATTGCTACCGCAGTTAAATAATAGAAATCTACAGTAATCCTACAGTCTAGTAAGTACAGTAATCTTAGTAATTGTTCAGAGTTGAACCGTAGCATTGAAAAGTGTATGAAAGAGGTTATACAGAAAATCTATCGAGATCAACCCTAAACCAACTCCAGCACAACTGTAGCGAGTAGTCAGAGCTCTTGAGCTACCACATAGATAATCATCTGACAAATTGGAGTATCTATGTGGTAGCTCAAGAGCTCTGACTACTCGTTACAGTTGTGCTAACGAAACCTAACATGAAGTTATTGCAGAAGAATAAAATATCCAAAGCCACAAGAGTTAAAATAGTTGAGTTGGGATAAAGTTGAGCATATGGAAAGTGATTCAGCCGACTTGACTTTTGAGACGAGAAATGGACTGAAAGGAACTCCTCCTCTGTCCACTCGGCTGTTTTACACACTACGGAACAGCTGATCGAATAAAACCTACGGATTTCAAAAGTGAAACTTTACATTTGGTTTGCTATTTGCATTTAAAACAAAAACGCTGCTGGGATAAAATCAAAAAGCATCCAAGTAAAGACTGGAGAGAGTCTAATCAGTGGTCATCTTTGAGAAATCATCAAGAATCCGTCGATATGATCTCATCACAAACCAGATCAGTCTTTCCCTCTCAAGAATCAAGTTGATGATGAGGATTCTGTCATTTTTTCGAGACGAGACGGTCAACAGTAGGTGGGCGAAGAGAGGTGGAAAAAAGCGAAGTCCTCTAATGTTTGTCGAGTGTTTTTCCCTGGGGACCGATCCAGGATTGATATTTTCTAATTTTAATTTTAATGATTAATAACAATAACAAAATTTTAATTGAGTATCATTGGAAAGTTACTAAAAGCTGTTTCTCGAACAATTTGATTCCTGTAATGCAATAATATTAAATATTTAAAAACCCAAAACAATTAGAAGTAGGGATAAAAAGGAGAAATATCAGGGAAATAACGAGCAAATAAATCAGGCCTTTTTCTTTGGCTATTGAGAGAAGCGCTGAGCCGTGAGCCATTCCATCGAAGGTATGTATCTTGCCATTGGACCCATCCCAGATGAGCGTTCGATTTCACCAGACTTCACTCCATCTTCTAGACGTCGCCATAAGTACTTTGTAGTCTAAAAAGAAAATTTTGGTAAACCTTTACGCATCTATCTTAAGCTTGCATAGATAAGAGTCGAACTGTTAAGGTTTTTGAAAAACTAGCCTACCGCCGGATTGTCGCTGATCGCGAAGTGCTCCCGGATGTATTTGAGAATCGCAATTCCTGTCGATCCTTGACGATCAGCCATGTCAAAGATTGCCTCGAGAATCATTTGCATGTAGGGCGGATGCTAAAAACTAAAAAAGTGTAACTTCTACGATTAGACCTTTAAAAACAGAGATTGAATAAAAATATGCATCTTTAGCAGGCAACTTTTGTCTTTATCTACTAAAGAAGCTAATTCATTGTTTAGCAAAAGACTAACCGTGCCGACTTTGCTGCCGCTGGTTGATCCCTCCGACCATCGGCGCTGTGGCTGTGGAACAGTTGAGGGTTGAAGAATTTCGTCGGCCGATTTCGCCAGCACGTACTTCATCTGCTTTCCTTTGTCGAGGAAACGTGTGAAATTACCATTTGTCACTCCATTTGCCAAAAGTTGGGACAATTTAGGGCCATGCTAAAAAATAAATGCAATCTTAACGCTGTTTTGATATTGTTTGGTTAAAAAATAAACACAAACACTTGGCTATTTGTAATTGAAAATACCCACTTTCAGATCTGAGGGGATTTCGTAGTTTTCCTCGATAAATTCGCGAATGCCCGACATGGTGATTCCTTGCATGAAAGCCGAGTTGATAGCTTCGGCGATCATCTCATCGTAAGTTGCATTCTAAATAAAAAAAAATGAGTTAAAGTTTATAGGTTTCGAAAGGGTTTAGCTATAAAAAAGCTTGGTCATTGTTTAAATTTCGTTGAAAATAGGAGGAATATGCTTTCATATCTTAATTGACTGCTTATAGAAAAACTAATGAAGCAACTTTGAGCACATCCTGCCATTTTTTAATAGATTAAACTTGTCCAAAACGAGTTATAGACCATCAATCTAAGCTTGTACTTATTAAAGTTTTCCAAAAAGACAATCAGCGGTGTTAAATTGGCTTCAGCAACAATCAAATGCACTTCAATTGAGAACTCCAGCTTACAGGATTTAGCTTGCAACTCGAATTACACGTTGCATTCATTTTAGCGTACTCAACTACAAACTTTCCTCAAAAACACACGCTGATGAATGCTAACTTTACATGAAGATTACAAGGATTCTAAAAAAATATACCATTTCTTTCTTGTGTGGCTGTTTCTTTTGCTTCTTTGGAATATCTTCTTCTGACGACATCTCTCCGCCGATTTTCTCTGAAGTTGATTCTTCTTCTAACGTGATCTCTCGGCTCGAGCCCATTTTCTTTTGTCCATCTTTGCTCAAAGTCGTTGATAGAGAGCTCGTTTTCTTTTGACCATCTTTGCTCGAAGTCGCTGATAGAGAGCTCGTTTTCTTTTGTTCATCTTTGCCCGAAGTCGTTGATAGAGAGCTCGTTTTCTTTTTTCCATCTTTGCTCAAAGTCGTTGATAGAGAGCGGAGTCGACTTCGCTTTCCGGTGATAGCCATTTGTTTCCCTAAAGAAAACAAAGTTTACGATTGGTAAAGTAAAGAAAAAAGAAAAATAAGCAAAAATGATATTGGAGGGGCAATGTTTTATGTCAAAGTGGCAAATTTAGAAACAAAATGGGCTTCACTTAAAGGAAAATTGTTTCCATGACAGATCTAGAGTTGCTTTTAAGCGGTACTTGATTAAAATCCATTAACTTTGATATAGTTCTAAACGAGTTCGATAAATTCTCATTTTTGGCACAACCAATAAAAAAATCGGGATGCTATGCGTGGGTGTGGCCTCAATTTTGCCAGTGGCATTTTAATTTTCTTGGATTTGCAACGCTTTGCAAATAGTTTCAAAGCTTCATTATAACTTTAATCTTTGCTTTCGCTTTTAATTAAGATTTATGACAGGATAACAAAGTAACAAAAAGTAAGGTCGCGTCCGTTTCCTTCCTATTTGCGTTGCTATTTTGCAATTATTCGCGTCGCATTTTTCGTCCTTTTTCTCCCTTCCCGAAATTATTTTTTTTAGTCTGCGGGCTTTTGCCTTCCCTCTTGGGGGACTTTTGTTGTTTCATTTTTGATGCGCATGCTGTTTTTGTAATGGGTATTGTTGCATTTCGGTTCTGTACTAATAAACAGTAACGTTATAAATTCACTTTACTTTATGCTACCCTTCAGGTTTTAAATCCTGTTTAGATGACTGGTTTAACATTGTAGAGAGACTGGTTTTACTAACATTTGTGTCACCATCGACCTAGTATCAATCCGATCTGTACTCTTCTCAAGACTATTAATCTATTGTTGGATACTACGTGTTCTTGTTACGTTGTAAGCGCTTTTGGGGAAACCCTTTTAACCTTTTGTGCTATTCGGCCATTCTTAAGCAGAATCATCCTCGTTGATAAGGTTAAAGCGGGTCGCACAACTGTCGCACCAAAAGTAACCAAAAGCAAAAAGGCGTCGAAAGCATTAAAATAATGGATATTTCTTGGGTTTTTGACAACGCTGATTAAATTGCAAATAGTTTCCAGGCTTCGTTCTAACTTTGCTACTTTTTCTGTTTAGGCCCCCCAACTATCAGCTTTCTTTTTGAACCATATGCATTCAGCATTTGCATTTTAGACTGCACTCTCTCCAAGCAATAACCGGTTGATTGGCTATCTTTGATCTTTTTATCACAATTGATGGCGGCGTTGTAGGCGACGCCCCGGGCCAACTTTCGCCTGACCGGGAAGTGAATTGCGCCAAATCGTGTTTTTTTGTAAAGGGGTCGAAAAACCTTTCGTACCACCCGCCTTTCGTCCCACTTGCTAGTTATGTTGTCACATCAACCCGGGCGAGCCGAGTTGATGCCTATTTTACGGTTTCCAATTTTTCCCAGAAGCTCAACACTCAAATCTCCCCACATAATTTCATCGTCAGCTACATTCTCCGACCCCACATCGATAGGTTTGAGATTTCGAGGAATTTAGACGACGATCAGGGGGCACTACTATTAGAAAAAAATAGGGTATTTGCGATTTAATCAGCGCTATCGAAAATCCAATAAAATTAGAACGCCATTGGCAAAATTGAGGTCACGCGTAAAGCCCCAAAATCGGATTACGAAATTCCGGGAAACAAAATGATCAAAATGTGGAACTTTTAAGCTGCATCTTATAGTAGTAAAGTACCGTAGTTTAGCGTTATTTAGAAGACACAAGAAAGGCGCCATTTTGAAAACATTTAATCATTGTTTGTGCTTTTGCTGTTTTTTGGCAACAAACCTGCAAACTGCAATTCTTTGTTTCAACTATTGTCAATGTTTATTTCTCTAGTTAAAAACAGTAATAAAATGTGATTTCGATTAAAAATTGATTTGATTAGTGTCAGTCATTAATGTGCTTGGATCGCCGAGATCACCGAGATCGTGCTGATACTTCGGGTGGATCTTCGCGGAGAAGTCGTGAAATTCGATACTTTTCCCAGAACTATCGAGTCTTCCCTTTTCCCGAAAACATTCGATCGAATCTCTTTTGAGACAATGAAGATAAACCTGAAGGTAAATGAGAATGACAATGAAGATCGAATGGATTCATTCATTCAATCTTCATTGTCAAAGATCGAATGGATTCATTCATTCGATCATTTCCATTCATTCAACATTCGAAGCCAAGAAGCCTTACAGATTACAGCACTACCTACCGTAAATAATTGGACCCCCCTCGAACAGTCGCGTAGTCGCAAAAGTTTTTAGTATTTTTAGTATTTTTAGTATTTCTTTTTTTCCAAAGCACCCGTACTTTCAAAAAATATGTCTTTGGTATCAAAAAATAGCTCTAAATCTCAGCTTTCATTTGATACGTAAGCGAACACTGTAGCATACACAAGTGTCGAGAAAAACGCGTTTTTTCGGGATGGTTGCGTAGTCTAACTTTAAACATCCCGTTCTCCGCGCTCCTTTATGCTACAATGCGCACTTTGGTATCAAAAAATAGCCCTGAATTTCAGCTATTTTTTGATATCTAAACGAGCGAAACGAGCATTGTAGCATAAATCAGTGTCGAGAAAAACTCGTTCAAAGCTAGACTACGCAACGCTCCGCCCCGTCATTATGGTGGTGGGGTACTAATACAGTATTTACGGTTAGTCTAAGCTTAAACCCGTATCAATAAAGATTGATTTCAAGCATAAAGTACACAATTTCTCAAGTCAAAAACCTTTCAATACCAACCACAATGGCGCAAAATTGCACAAATCACAGAAAATTGGGGCTGTCTCAAAGAAAATCCAGTAATCATCCATTGATTGAGTGTTGCAAATGATCTGTAAGTATTGCATTTCTATAAAAATCTCATTTTCTTTACCGTATCAATAGCATTTACGCATCCCATAATGAATTGGAATACAGTAGTCGCATGGAAAGCGAATTCTCGACGAGTTAGCTTCACTTCCTGAATTTGTAAGTCTAAAGTAAAAGACTAAAAGAAATAAAATGAAACAAATAAAATGAAAGAAGTAAGACTTTCAATTAGTTAACCTTTAACTTTAACCTTAAACCAATTAACCTTATCGATACTTTATACATAGCGACTTTTAATGAGTAAGCACCTCATAAACCTTATCGATACTTATCAATATTGAAAGAATCGATATTGAATATCATTAGTTAGATATCTCTGATATTAAAGAATAAGCTCACTTCTCTCTTAATCAATAATCGATATTGAATATCATTAGTTAGATATTTCGATAGTTAGATAGTTAGAATAAGCTCACTTTTCTCTTAATCAACAATCGATATTGAATATCGATAGTTAAAGATTTCTGATATTAAAGAATAAGCTCACTTTTCTCTTGATCAACAATCGATATCCAAGGTAGAAATTGAGAGGGAAACTCAAGAAGAGACAGCTCATATTCACGCCAAAATACATCCAGTTCTCTATGTCCTAAAATTTTTCAATCTTTCAATTACTCACTCTATCGTAACCCTTTTCAAATCAATACTTTTATACTTTACCGTAATCTCAGTTCAATTACGGTAACTGAGATAGGGAATTTGGGGGTGGGACAAATGCGACCTTTCTTTGCGCACCTGGACATTTGCGCACCTTTTTTTTTGCTGGAAAAGGCCTTAGGCAAGGCCGTAGAGCTTCGAAAATGTTTCGAAAATACTTCCATATAAGGGAATCGTATGCGTAGATTCCGAATTTCGACAAATCAGACCTCGTTGACACGTCAAATTTGGGCTAAAAGGGAAAAACTGCGGAAAAACGTTAAGTTGCGTAGTTTTTGCCTTTTAGCCCAAATTTGACGTGTCAGCGAGGTCTGATTTGTCAAAATTTTGAATCTACGCATACGATTCCCTTCTATGAAAACGTTTTTGAAGCTCTACGACTTTTCCTAAGGCCTTTTCCAGCAAAAAAAAAGGTGCGCAAATGTCCAGGTGCGCAAAAAAGGTCGCATTTGTCCCACTCCGGAATTTGAGACAATTGTCTCAAAGAATTGAGATTTTTATTATTTTAAAGTACCTTGCTGAGGTTATGATAACTAAAAGACGTTTTAGAGCTACTCAAATCATTATTCAAAAAGAGTTAATAAATAAAAATTCGAATTACTCACCGAAATATCAGTATTCGGAATATAATAACCCCAGGAAAGTCGTAGAAACGAATTTTTCACAAAAATGCAATGAATTGTGATAAATGAGGGAAGAAAAATGATGAAAAGACAAGAAGGACGAGTGGCTTCATCCCAAAACTGAAGACTTTCATCTTTCACCTTTCATCTTTCACCCAAAAGACTTTCATCCTTGTAATCAGAAAGAATTTCGATTTTATTCTTAAGATTTTATTAAGAAAGAACTATTTAAGTTACCCTTTCATAATGAACAGGAAACATCAATGAAGTCGCTCGATTTATCGCTACCAATAAAGTGCCAAAACTTTGAATCATCAAAGTTACTGTAGAGAGATAGTTAAGTATCGTTGGAACGGGACCCTCCTAAAATACTATATAATTTCATTTTGAATCAGATTCCTTGTTCGGATTTGAATTTTTAGAAGATTCTGCGACCGTTAGGAACTTTGAAAATCAACATTTAACATTAACAACAAATAAAAAAGACATCAAGAATTGTGAACATAAAAACAAATAATCTGTTGTTGTTAATGCTAAATAAATGTTGGTGGATACTTTTCAAAGTTCCTAAGGGTGGATAAAGAAATGTGAAACGGTCGCAGAATCTTCTTTCTTAGTTGTTTTTTTTTGTTGAGAAAATCAAGTAGCCCAAAGTAACCCAAAGTAACCCAAACAGGTTTTACAATATGGCCTTTCTATTGGAAAAGAAAATAGCTCGATCTTGAATCTTGAAACTTAAAAATCGAATATTGAACTTTGAAAATTGAATATTGAAATTTAAATCATGAAACGTTAACCAACGCTGAACCAACATTGAACAGGCTGAAAAGCATGACTCCAGCTGAAGCTGAAGTCAACCTCGAGCCTGTTGAGAAACGAGGTTACAAAATCGGCAACAGTTCTTACGAATTTACCCGTCTTGCGTTTTAGTTTGAAATAAACTCTTCTCTGTAATTGAAAGGCAATAAAAATTTCATTTTGAATCAGATTCCTGGTTCTGATTTGGATTTTAAAAAAAAAAGATAGCTTACTTTTATGTAAAAATACCATTCGTGAACGCCCCAAGTGGGTAAACGAACGTCAAAGAGTTGAGCGAGGAAAGAGACCATGTCCTAGAATTGTGAGATCTGGAGCAAGCTTATAAATCTGTTTAATGACGGAAAGAGACCATGTCCTAGAATTTTGAGATTATGTGGAACCAGCTTATAAATCCCCTTAATGACGGGGAGCCCCTCGGTTATCGTGGCGCAGTCAGTAGTCCTCTTGTCTACAACCCTCACGATCCGGGTTCGACCCCGCCAACTTAATTTTTATTTTAAATTGGACAATTATATTATAGCTTGATTAGCTTTGAGTCAAGTCAATCAGTAAGCTTACAATCAGTACAATTGCAATCACATTTAAAAGCCGTTTAAGTTTAGTTTATTCCTATCACTTGTACCAATCAATTTTGTTTTCCTTTCAAGCAAAGTATATTCTAAAGTGTGTCATCTTTTGTGAGCTGCCGTAAGCATGCTTTAGAAAATTCTTTACTTGAAAGGAAGAGACTTGGTTTATAATTTTTTGTGAACTACCGTAAGTTTCCACCTGTTTCTTCAAATCTATCCATTTTTTTGCTTTACTGAAAGATAACAAAACTAAAAAGCCGTTTGAGTTTCGTTTAGTTCTAGTACTAGTTTAGTTTAGTTCTAGTACTAATTTAGCTTAGTTCTAGTACTAGTTTAGCTTAGTTCTAGTACTAGTTTAGTTTAGTTCTAGTACTAGTTTAGCTTAGTTCTAGTACTAGTTTAGTTTAGTTCTAGTACTAGTTTAGCTTAGTTCTAGTACTAGTTTAGTTTAGTTCTAGTACCAATTTAGCTTAGTTCTAGTACTAGTTTAGTTTAGTTCTAGTAATCACTAGTACTCAGAAGTCCTAATTTCTAAGATCTTGAAAGACATTCAGTTAAAAGGAGAATTTGAGCCGTTTGAGTTTAGTCCTATCACTTGTACTAATCACTTTTTGGAGTACCCAGAAGTCCTAATTTCTAATATCTATATGTCGTAGCCGATTATGAATGAAATTACCGGCGCTACAACGTTTCATTTAAAATCGGCGGACCCCCGTAGCCGATTATTGAATGAGTGGGTCTAGAAGCGTCCAACCATCAAGTATTTAGTATCATTCAACGCAGAATCATTAATAATTATGTTAAATTTTTCAAATTAGAAAGATTGGATAAAAAGAAAAAAAATTAGAGCAAAAAAAACGGTTTGTTCAAGAGAAAACTTTGAAGCCCCATAATTTTTTTTTCTTTTTATCCAATCTTTCTAATTTGAAAAATTTAACATAATTATTAATGATTCTGCGTTGAATGATACTAAATACTTGATGGTTGGACGCTCCTAGACCCACTCATTCATAATCGGCTACGGGGGTCCCGCCGATTTTGAATGAAACGTTGTAGCGCGGGTAATTTTTAACCTAAACTCACAAATTTGGTACCAATCGACGCAGAATTTTTAATTCGCTACAGGATGATATAATATTGTCCTCATACATTAAAGGGTTGCTCTACTAGAAAGGTTTACAAAAAAATTTCATTCATAATCGGCTACGACATATATAATAATGTTGATTAAATGAGTGATATAATACTGAACGGTTGGCCGCTCCTAGACCCACTCATTCATAATCGACTACGACATACACAATCCTTTGTTTTAAGACCTACATTTGTAATGAGGATGAAGAAAATTCGTTGAAAGTTTGTTTTGAAGCCATTTGTAGAATGAAATTTTGCAATACGGTAATAGATCCAAATCGTCGTGACACCAAGAATGAGAAATGCTGATGAAGAGATCATCTCGAATGGATCAACAAAGTGATCATCGTAATCGTCGTAATCATCCGATGACGTCATTCCACCACCAACATTTGTCGCCATTTTCAATATTCAACTGAAAACGATCAAAAATTCAATGAAACTTGAATAAAGCACAGAATTAAATACCCCAAAGGACGTGCGTTTGCTAGCTAAAACTTTCTGTACTTTATTTCTTGTACTTTATTTCTTGTACTTTGCTCTCAGAAAACGTAAACTTTCTGGTGCACTGGCACAAAGAAATGCCAAACAAAGTTTGAGATAGAGTTGTAGAGCTGACTATGCCATTTTCGTAAACAAATGCCAATTAAAAACCACTAGACCATAAAAACCATAAAAACAGCTAAGCAAAAAAGTGAAATGGGGCTCATAATCGCCATTGCGAGATAAATGGCGTCGGTTAAACGCCCGACGTTGTTGCGGGAATTCTTGGTCACTCTGTAGTAAAAGAAATAGTAGATAATAGTTACTGTAGGTTTTTTTATCGAGAAAACTTTATGAAAAGATTTCCAGTTGCAAGTGCGATATCGGTTTCAGTCTTCGACCAGATGGAAGAACTTGTGAAAGTGATTTTAATAATATTATTTGCTTAGGCTTAAGTATTGATTGTCTAAGCTTAGTACAGCTTTTTTAACATTGAATATTCATTTAATCTTCCCAGGCACTTGTGGTGGATTCCTGCGTGCCTCAAGCGGCTCCATTCAGAGCCCAAATTTCCCCGAGAACTATCCACCTGGGAAAAATTGTGTTTGGGAGATTGAAGCTGGTGAAGGATATCAGGTGAATTAGAGGCTTTGTGATATTTGTCGATTTGGACTTTGGACACAAAGTTTGCCGATTTGGACTTTGGACACAATGTCGAACCTTGGACACAACGTTTGAGATAGAGTTGTAGAGCTGACTATTCCATTTTCGTAAACAAATCCCCATTAAAAACCGCTAGACATAGCTTAAACAAGAAATTTTGTCGCTTAAGAATCTTAGTTCACTTTCAATTTTCTAACTTGAAACTTAGAGAATCAAGTCAATCAAGTTTATAAGTACAAAATAAATAACTAGATTTGAAATCAATCATTTGATCTAATTCAAATCAAATTCAGATCAATTTACTGGATTTTCTCTAATAGAGTAGTGCTCTAATAGCTCTAATAGCTCTAATAGAGTAGTGCACAAGGAGCGTTGCTTAAATTCCTCGTAATCTCGAGAAGCGCTTATCAGAACATATCGATGTGCGGTCGGAAAATGTAGCTGACGATGAGATCTTGTGGGGGATTAGAGGGTTGAGCTTCTGTAGAAGCTTCGAAACTGTAAAATAGTCATCAACTCGACTCGCTCGGCTGCACTATTATTAGAGAAAATACGATATTATACTTTGCTTGATGATTGTTGAAAAAAGATCCCGATCATTTGAACTCAGTTGCAGCCAACTGTTCATTCATCTATTGGATTCTCTCTAATAGTAGTGCACCCTGATAGTCACTCTAATAGTCGTCTAAATTCCTCGTAATCTCGAGAACCGCTTATCAGAACCTATTGATGTGCGGTCGGAAAATGTAGCTGACGATGAGATCTTGTGGGGGATTAGAGGGTTGAGCTTCTGGGAAAGCTTCGAAACCGTAAAATAGGCATCAACTCGGCTCGCCCGGGTTGATGTGACAACATAACTAGCAAGTGGGACGAAAGGCGGGTGGCACGAAAGGTTTTTCGACCCCTTTACAAAAAAAACACGATTTGGCGCAATTCACTTCCCGGTCAGGCGAAAGTCGGCCCGGGGCGTCGCCCACAACGCCAGTATCAATTGTGATAAAAAGATCAAAGATCACCAATCAACCGTACGCTAAAATAGTCATCAACTCGGCTCGGCTGGGTGCACTACTATTAGCGAAAATACGGTATTGACCGTCCGGTTAGGTTTAAATTGAATGAAAATGTAAAAGAAAGTTAAACTGAAAGAGTACTTTATTTAAACTTATATGCAAATTGATGAGCTTAAACCGGGAAAACGGGAAAATTGCAATTATAAACAAAATTATAAACAATTGCAATAAAATGAGAATTTCGTGGAGAAATCTTTTCAAATCTTTTCCCAGCTCTTTCTAATCTAGAAGTCGTACCGTTCAACGCTCAACTAGAAAACCCTCAAAAAAAAAAGAAATTCATTGCATTCGAATCTCCTTTTCTCTCTTTCATCTCTTTCAAAATTTGTAGCTTCAATCATTTTTTTGGATACAAAATGATTGGGGGAAAGTTTATGAGTTCAAAAACTTTTCAAATTCAATTTTCTTTCAAATTCAATCGTAAATTTGATATTTAAAAAAAGAAAAAAGGAAAAAAGTGATTTTATTTTTGAAAAAAAATTTCAATTTCAAAATTTTACAGATTTTTGAGGTATTGGCTTGGGTTCTTTTCTTTAAAATGAAATTTTTCTTCATTTAACTTCAGCTATCCAAAATTTCCCTAGTAGATAGGCTCTTGCAAATCCCAGAACACCGAGAGCCGTTTTTCTCATGCACATTTGACTTGATGTCGGGTTTAGGCTTTCCCCCTTTCACTTCGATTCGACTAGGGACTTCTATTAGGGACTTCCATCAGGGACTTCGATTAGGGACTTCTATTAAGGACTTCGATTAGGGACTTCTATTAGGGACTTCCATTAGGGACTTCGATTCCAAACGGACACCCAGAAATGGAAACCCATTGACTTTCACCGAAAGTTGACAGTTTGAATCTATTTTCATTCCCTGTCACAATACGAGATAAAAAGATTTGCGCTCGTATTGAGAAAGATGAGTGGCACTGGATTACTGATTTGTTGCCTTTTCTGGGTGTCCTTTCGGAATCGAAGTCCCTAATACGGTTTAAACCCAAGTGTATGCAATTTTCGAGTATTTTTGTCTGATCAACTGATAACTCTTCTGCTATTTCGCAAAAAGAAAGCCTTTTTTGGTTTGAAAGATTTCAAGCAACTTGGCATTCAGCTGGAGTGCTGGATGGCTGGACTGCTGGATGGCTGGACTGCTAAATGGCTGGACTGCTGGATGGCTGAACTTAGCATTCAACTGGACTGCTGAATGGCTTAGGCTTAAGCTCCTTTTGTCTTCGAAGATTCATCCTCAGAACGGAGTTTAACAAACCAGTTTGCACATGTCCGTAGTGGAGCTGAGCTGAGCTGATCCTTCCACAGTAACATTCTCAATATTAACTGAATACTAGAGGCCACTGTCTTTGTAGAGATTCGTACAACATAACGTGTCGCAGATCTCCAGATTTTCTGTCATTTGGCCACTTTTCTACATGAAAAAATATCATTCGGAAAAGTTTTAACGGTAATTTTGGCCCACCCTGTATACAGTCCGTTTCATATTTCTTTATCCACCCATAGGAACTTTGAAAATCAACATTTAGCATTAACAACAAATAAAAAAGGCATCAAGAATTGTGAACATAACAGCTAATAATCTGTTGTTGTTGTTAATGCTGTTGTTGTTGTTGTTAATGCTGTTGTTGTTGTTAATGCTAAATAAATGTTGGTGGATAATTTTCAAAGTTCCTAAGGGTGGATAAAGAAATTTGAAACGGTCGCAGAATCTTCTTTTTTAGTTTTTTTTTTTTGTTGAGAAAATCTAGTAACCCAAAGTCACCCAAACAGGTTTTACAATTTGGCCTTTCTATTGCAAAAGAAAATAGCTCGATATCTCCACCCATTCTCCATAAAATCTCTTAATAAAGAAATATGCAAACGGACTGTAGAATTTCATTTTGAATCAGATTCCTGGCTCCTGAATTGGATTTTTAAAAAAAAGATAGCTTACTTTTATGTAAAAATACCACTCGTGAACGCCCCAAGTGGGTAAACGAACGTCAAAGAGTTGAGCGAGGAAAGAGATCATGTCCTAGAATTGTGGGATCTGGAACCAGCTTATAAATCCGATTAATGAAGCTGGGATTTCCTGTTATCGTGGCGCAGTCAGTAGCCCTCTTGTCTACAACCCTCACGATCCGGGTTCGACTCCCCGTAGTGCCAGTCAACTTACTTTTTTTGGACAGCTATATTGTTGGATTGGAAAACTATATTGTTTGTCTGATTAGCTTTGAGTCAAGTCAATCAGTAAGCTTACAATTAGTACAATTGCAATCACAATTAAAAGCCGTTTGAGTTTAGTTTATTCCTATCACTTGTACCAATCAATTTTGTTTTCCTTTCAAGCAAAGTATATTCTAAAGTGTGTCATCTTTTGTGAACTGCCGTAAGCATGCTTTAGAAAATTCTTTACTTGAAAGGAAGACAAGATTGATTGGTACAAGTGATAGGACTAAACTAAGCTCAAAAGACTTTTAAGTGTGATTGCAATTGTACTAATTGTAAGCTTACTGATTGACTTGACTTAAAGCTAATCAAGCTATAATATTGTTCAATTTAAAATAAAAAATAAGTTTGAGTGGCACTACGGGGAGTCGAACCCGGATCGTGATTGATTGGTACTCGATTTCTAAGTGTTCTTTTGTGAACTACCGTAAGCTTACACCTGTTTCTTCAAAGTATCCATTCACTGAAAAATATCAAAACTAAAAAGCCGTTTGAGTTTAGTTGAGTTCTTTCATTTGTACGAATCACTAGTACTCAGAAGTCCTAATTTCTAATATATTAAAAGATATTCAGTTAAAGGAGGGACAGTCCTTTGTCCTTTGTTTAAGACCTACATTAGTAAGTTTAATTGTTTAAGACTTACATTAGTAAGTTTAATTGTTTAAGACCTACATTAGTAAGTTTAATTGTTTAAGACCTACATTAGTTTACACCTGTTTCTTCAAATTTATCCATTTTTTGCTTTACTGAAAGATATCAAAACTAAAAAGCCTTTTGAGTTTAGTCCTATCACTTGTACTAATCACTTTTTGAGTACTCAGATGTCCTAATTTCTAATATATTAAAAGATATTCAGTTAAAGGAGGGACATTCCTTTGTTTAAGACCTACATTAGTAATGAGGATGAAGAAAATTCGTTGAAAGTTTGTTTTGAAGCCATTTGTATAGTGAAATTTTGCAATACGGTAATAGATCCAAATCGTCGTGACACCAAGAATGAGAAATGCTGATGAAGAGATCATCTCGAATGGATCAACAAAGTGATCATCGTAATCGTAATCATCCGATGACGTCATTCCACCACCAACATTTGTCGCCATTTTCAATATTCTACTCAAAACGATCAAAAATTAAATGAAACTTTGGATAAAGCACAAAATTAAATACCCCAAAGGACGTGCGTTTGCTAGCTAAAACTTTCTGTACTTTAGTTCCTGTACTTTAGCTCCTGTACTTTGCTCTCAAAAACGTAGACTTTCTGGTGCACTGAATGTTCTATAAAATCCAATTTGGATTTAAATGCAAATTGAATGAAAATTTAAAAGAAATTCCGGGTAGGCTAATTTCCGCATTTTTTTTTTGCGCAACTGGGTCATTTGGGAAACTAGGCCTTTTGCGCAATTCGCCATAACTTTCCTCTAAGCCAGCCAATCTTTATGATGTTGGTTTCATTTTGTAGATCTCAATAAGTGCAACAAAATGAAACCAACATCATAAAGATTGGCCGACATAGAAGAAAGTTATGGCGAGTTGCGCAAATGACCCTGGCAAATGATCCTAGCAAATGACCCAGTTGCGCAAAAAAGATTGCGGAAATTAGCCTACCCCAGAAATTCAACTGAAAGAGCACTTTATCTAAACTAATATGCAAATTGATGAGCTTAAACCGGGAAACCGGGAACAACAATTGCAATGAAATGCGAATTTCATGGGGAAAATGAAAATCTTTTCACAGCTCTTTCTAATCTAGAAGTCGGCAAGACTAGAACTAGAAAATCAACTAGTTCAACTAGAAAATCTCAAAAAAAAAGAAATTCATTGCATTCGAATCTCCTTTACTCTTTCAAAATTTGTAGCTTCAGTCATTTTTTTGGATACAAAATGATTGGGGAAAGTTTATATTCAAAAATTTTTCAAATCCAATCATAAATTTGATATTTGAAAAAAGCAAAAGGCGGTTTTATTTTTAAAAATTGCAAGAAATTATGAAATTTTTTTCAAAGTTTTACAGATTTTTGAGGTATTGTCTTGCTGGGTATGACACGTTCTTTAGAATGAAATTTTTCTTCATTTAACTTCAGCTATCCAAAATTTCCCCAGTAAATAGGCTCTTGCAAATCCCAGAACACCGAGAGCCGTTTTTCTGATGCACATTTGACTTGACGTCGGGTTTAGGCTTTCCCCCTTTGACTTCGATTTGACTTCCATTCCAAACGGACACCCAGAAATGGAAGCCTAAGCCTAAGCCTAAGCCTAAGCCTAAGCCTAAACTCGCTCAGATCCAAAAAATGGGGGTTCAGCCCAAACCCAAATAGACTGGTGCTAGGCGCTAGCCGCTAGCCTTCGCACTAAGTCCAAGCCTAAGCCTAAGCCTAACCCATTGACTTTCACCGAAAGTTGACAGTTTGAATCTATTTTCATTCCCTGTTACAATACGGGATAAAAAAGATTTGCGCTCGTATTGAGAAAGATGAGTGGCACTGGATTACTGATTTGTTGCCATTTCTGGGTGTCCGTGTGGAATTGAAGTCCCTAATACGGTTTAAACCCAAGTGTATGCAATGTTCGAGTATTTTTGTCTGATCAACTGATAACTCGAAAAGAAAGCCTTCTTTTGGTTTGAAAAATTTCAAGCAACTTGGCATTCAGCTGGACTGCTGAATGGCTGCTTAAGCTCCTTTGTCTTCGAAGATTCATCTCCAGAACGGAGTTTAACAAACCAGTTTGCACATGTTCGTAGTGCAGCTGAGCTGAGCTGATCCTTCCACAGAAACATTCTCAATGTTAACTGAACACTAGAGGCCCTTGTGTCCTTGTAGAGATTCGTACAACATAACGTGTCGCAGATCTCCAGATTTTCAGTAGATAGATTTTCAATAGTTAGAACAAAGTAAAGTAAAATTTTAAAAGCCAAATGCCGAAAGCGAAAGTGCATTGTTTTCAGAAGAAAGATTGAATTTTTACTTATCTATTTTCCACTTACATAACTGGGATTTAATTTGAGAAATGTGCCAACTCATATCCACGAATCCAATTGAAATAAAAATGTTGGCTCTTTTTTAAACTTTAGCTGATAATGTTAGGCGCAGAAGGCTAGCTTGCTCAAACCGAGCCTGTAAACGAAACTAGAGTAGAAGCCATGTCTAGGCTTGACTTCTGGCAGACACAGACATTATTGGGGCCAGATTTGCCACAAAGTTAGGCTAAGATTTGAGCCTGGTAAAGACAAAGACAAGTACAAAGTAAAAAAACGAAGGCCACAACTTTGTGTAACCACTCTAGCAAGCCCATTCTTATGCGAAAAACGGTGAATTTAGTTGGTGACATTCGTGTATTTCAAAATTTAAGGACAAAGTACATTTCGACGATCAACCACCCCTTTTTCTCTTTCTCTTTGAAGTCACAACGGTTCAGCTTTAACACAAGATATTCAGCTAACAAGCTA